CGATAAAATCCCAAGCCTACATGATAGGTCACAGACTGGGTATCTTGTCGAATAAACCAACAAAACCCAAAGTCTACATGATAGGTCAATGGTGGGGTTTCTTGTGGAACTAGTCGAAAAAGCCCCAAATTTACATCATAGGTCACAGACTGGGTGTCTTGTCGAAAAGCCTATTAAGTCCCATGTCTTCATGATAGGTCACTGATGGAATATCTTGTCGAACTAACCTAAAAAGCCCCAAGTTTACACGATAGGTCACAGATAGGGTGCCTTGTCGAATAAACCAACAAAACCCAAAGTCTACATGATAGGTCAATGGTGGGGTTTCTTGTGGAACTAGCCGAAAAAGCCCCAAATTTACATGATAGGTCACAGATAGGGTGCCTTGTCGAATAAACCAACAAAAACCAAAGTCTACATGGCAGGTCACTGGTGGGGTTTCTTGTGGAACTAGCCGAAAAAGCCCCAAGTTTACATGATAGGTCACAGATAGGGTGTCTTGTCGAATAAGTCTACATGATAGGTAACTGGTGGGATATCTTGTGGAACTAGCCGATAAAATCCCAAGCCTACATGATAGGTCACAGACTGGGTGTCTTGCCGAATAAACCAACAAAACCCAAAGTCTACATGATAGGTCAATGGTGGGGTTTCTTGTGGAACTAGCCGAAAAAGCCCAAAGTTTACATGATAGGTCACAGATAGGGTGCCTTGTCGAATAAACCAACAAAACCCAAAGTCTACATGATAGGTCAATGGTGGGGTTTCTTGTGGAACTAGCCGAAAAAGCCCCAAATTTACATGATAGGTCACAGATAGGGTGCCTTGTCGAATAAACCAACAAAACCCAAAGTCTACATGGCAGGTCACTGGTTGGGTTTCTTGTGGAACTAGCCGAAAAAGCTCCAAGTTTACATGATAGGTCACAGATGGGGTGTCTTGTCGACTAAGTCTACATGATAGGTAACTGGTGGGATATCTTGTGGAACTAGCCGATAAAATCCCAAGCCTACATGATAGGTCACAGACTTGGTGTCTTGTCGAAAAGTCTATTAAGTCCCATGTCTTATGATAGGTCACTGATGGAATATCTTGTCTAACTAGCCCTAAAAAGCTCCAAGTTTACGTGATAGGTCACAGATAGGGTGTCTTGTCGAATAAGTCTACATGATAGGTAACTGATGGGATATCTTGTGGAACTAGTCGAAAATGCCCCAAATTTACATGATAGGTCACAGATAGGGTGTCTTGTCGAATAAGTCTACATGATAGGTAACTGGTGGGATATCTTGTGGAACTAGCCGATAAAATCCCAAGCCTACATGATAGGTCACAGACTGGGTATCTTGTCGAATAAACCAACAAAACCCAAAGTCTACATGATAGGTCAATGGTGGGGTTTCTTGTGGAACTAGTCGAAAAAGCCCCAAATTTACATCATAGGTCACAGACTGGGTGTCTTGTCGAAAAGCCTATTAAGTCCCATGTCTTCATGATAGGTCACTGATGGAATATCTTGTCGAACTAACCTAAAAAGCCCCAAATTTACATGATAGGTCACAGATAGGGTGCCTTGTCGAATAAACCAACAAAAACCAAAGTCTACATGGCAGGTCACTGGTGGGGTTTCTTGTGGAACTAGCCGAAAAAGCCCCAAGTTTACATGATAGGTCACAGATAGGGTGTCTTGTCGAATAAGTCTACATGATAGGTAACTGGTGGGATATCTTGTGGAACTAGCCGATAAAATCCCAAGCCTACATGATAGGTCACAGACTGGGTGTCTTGCCGAATAAACCAACAAAACCCAAAGTCTACATGATAGGTCAATGGTGGGGTTTCTTGTGGAACTAGCCGAAAAAGCCCAAAGTTTACATGATAGGTCACAGATAGGGTGCCTTGTCGAATAAACCAACAAAACCCAAAGTCTACATGATAGGTCAATGGTGGGGTTTCTTGTGGAACTAGCCGAAAAAGCCCCAAATTTACATGATAGGTCACAGATAGGGTGCCTTGTCGAATAAACCAACAAAACCCAAAGTCTACATGGCAGGTCACTGGTTGGGTTTCTTGTGGAACTAGCCGAAAAAGCTCCAAGTTTACATGATAGGTCACAGATGGGGTGTCTTGTCGACTAAGTCTACATGATAGGTAACTGGTGGGATATCTTGTGGAACTAGCCGATAAAATCCCAAGCCTACATGATAGGTCACAGACTTGGTGTCTTGTCGAAAAGTCTATTAAGTCCCATGTCTTATGATAGGTCACTGATGGAATATCTTGTCTAACTAGCCCTAAAAAGCTCCAAGTTTACGTGATAGGTCACAGATAGGGTGTCTTGTCGAATAAGTCTACATGATAGGTAACTGATGGGATATATTGTGGAACTAGTCGAAAATGCCCCAAATTTACATCATAGGTCACAGATAGGGTGTCTTGTCGAATAAGTCTACATGATAGGTAACTGGTGGGATATCTTGTGGAACTAGCCGATAAAATCCCAAGCCTACATGATAGGTCACAGACTGGGTGTCTTGTCGAAAAGCCTATTAAGTCCCATGTCTTCATGATAGGTCACTGATGGAATATCTTGTCGAACTAGCCTAAAAAGCTCCAAGTTTACGTGATAGGTCACAGAGAGGGTGTCTTGTCGAATAAGTCTACATGATAGGTAACTGATGGGATATCTTGTGGAACTAGTCGAAAAAGCCCCAAATTTACATCATAGGTCACAGATAGGGTGTCTTGTCGAATAAGTCTACATGATAGGTAACTGGTGGGATATCTTGTGGAACTAGCCGATAAAATCCCAAGCCTACATGATAGGTCACAGACTGGGTGTCTTGTCGAAAAGCCTATTAAGTCCCATGTCTTCATGATAGGTCACTGATGGAATATCTTGTCGAACTAGCCTAAAAAGCTCCAAGTTTACATGATAGGTCACAGAGAGGGTGTCTTGTCGAATAAGTATACATGATAGGTAACTGATGGGATATCTTGTGGAACTAGTCGAAAAAGCCCCAAATTTACATCATAGGTCACAGACTGGGTGTCTTGTCGAAAAGCCTATTAAGTCCCATGTCTTCATGATAGGTCACTGATGGAATATCTTGTCGAACTAACCTAAAAAGCCCCAAGTTTACATGATAGGTCACAGATAGGGTGCCTTGTCGAATAAACCAACAAAACCCAAAGTCTACATGATAGGTCAATGGTGGGGTTTCTTGTGGAACTAGCCGAAAAAGCCCCAAGTTTACATGATAGGTCACAGATAGGGTGCCTTGTCGAATAAACCAACAAAACCCAAAGTCTACATGGCAGGTCACTGGTGGGGTTTCTTGTCGAACTAGCCGATCAACCCCCATGTCTTCATGATAGGTCATTGCTTGGATGTCTTGTCCATCTGGACTTTAAACTGTTGATGACATTTGATGAAATGTCACACTTAAACTTTTTGCATGACCCCCATTTGCATTGCATGCCTGTTGACGTGATGGTTACAGAATGTAACATCTAATATTGTTATTTCTATCGATTTTGAATCCTCAAATTAAGCGTGTGCTTAAATGCCAGTGATTCATTTGTCGACAATAATTAGTTTAGATAATTATTGTGCCGGGAGATTCAATAGGACTCCAATCAGTGTCACAGCCACCGATGCTCGCGCCGAGATGTCGCTGTACCGAATATTAGAATGGCATTCCCTTACCTTGTTACGGGAAGCTGCTTTTATATCACTGTTGTTGACAATGATTTCAGCGATTATTTATTCTCATTAATACACATTAATTTTATATAATACTGTAGTCGGACATGATAAGTAACTCCAGTAGCTGCGCTCCCAGCACTGGAAACATTCATCTACCTTGTCCACACAGACCCAAGATAGGGTGTACCCATGTGCTGGCTGGTCGCGAATGAAAGGATGGACAATTAGTTTGACGTGAGACAGTTATCGGAAGTGAGTCCATCCAGAGTAATCTCGCAACCTGAACAACGACATAATAATACCTTCTTGGTCATTTGTTTATAAAGGGCAGGAAATATTTGATGCGCAATTAGAGCGGAGAGCAGTATGATACAGGGAACAGTTGAATACTTGTTACTGTATCCTGCGCTGTAATAAACGCTCTATTGTTTCTAGCGCCCCTTCTCTGTCCAGGTCCTTTAAGCTGCGGTTTAATCCTCCATCACCCAACTATCCCGTGGCGTAGCAAAAGATTAGCCATGTCATCACAATGAAACACGAGGTGTCCTTATCTTCATAAGTCTTCCAAATTCCAGTATAATGTAAGCTAGCTAATACTGGTTACATCGGCACGTAAACTCATCATCTTACGTGCTGCACATATAACTGAATGCCAGTGCTCGATATGCTGATAAATTAATCTTTGAGGATGACACGGACTTTGAAATGGACCAAGCATGCCCCTGTCTCGTGTTTTGAGTGTATCCTCTAACTCACTTATAGCTATAGCGGTGACCGTGTTATAAGGCCATGTATAACATTTCATTCACTTACGGTAAATAAACATGCACAGGTGTTAATATTTTTCGATGCCCGGAAATTTCATTTCATAAGCCAATGACAAACTGTCCGGGCATTGACTACTGAGTAACGCCCGGACATCCCGTCACCCTCAGATGCAATGATGCCGGGATATATATACAGTATGAATACCATCACATGTTTTCGTGGTAACCAGGTAGCAGAATGTACCCCAAAACCAAATAAATCGAATTTGTTATAGATAATAAATATCAATCAAAGTTAATATTTAAGTCATGTGGTATCCATTTCGCCAAGACGAATGGCTAGGTTTTTTTTCAAATTTGGGATTGGATATATAAAGTGTTTTTATAGAAAAAGTGTTCATATACGCAGTTTAAAGCGTGAAAGATTTCCTCGATCTAATCCTGTGTACCAACGTTTTTGTATCAATCAGACACTCTCATTCATTTTACAATACTCAGTATTAAGTGTTTCTCGCTCACTGTAGGGGTTGGCGTTCAGCCTACGGGAGCGCCAGGTACTTGGTCTGCACGGTCTGTTGCCCCCGGCGCTGCTGGACCAGGATCACCAGGTGTTCCAGGTGATGCAGAACTTCTACAGGTGGAACGACGACCTCGACAGGTACATCTACGTGATGGCGCTCCAGGACAGGAACGAGAAGCTCTTCTACAAGGTTGTCACCCAGTATGTTGAGCTGATGATGCCCGTCATCTACACGCCAACGGTCGGACTCGCCTGTCAGAAATACGGCATGATCTTCAGGAAACCGAGGTATGTCACTTGGGTCTCGTCTGTCGTAGTTTGTGATGCTGTATGAACATGCCTTTGCGCTTATGTGATCGTAACTCCCATACCTTAGACTTACGACAGTCGTTGCGCTGGGGTTGTTTTGTACAACGGCTCCCAGGTCTGTCATATACATACGCACTCACACCGACTGGCTGCCAAGTCTGGCAGAGATGGCCTGATCGTCAGACAACAAGGTCTGCTATATACATACGCACTCACACCGACTGTCTGCCAAGTCTAGCAGAGATAGCCTGGTCGTCAGACAACCAGGTCTGCTATATATACATACGCACTCATACCGACTGTCTGCCAAGTTCAGACATGGCCTGATCGTCAGACAACCAGGTCTGCTATATACATACGCACTCACACCGACTGTCTGCCAAGTCTGGGAGAGATGGCCTGATCGTCAGACAACAAGGTCTGCTATATACATACGCACTCACACCGACTGTCTGCCAAGTTTGTCAGAGATGGCCTGTTCGTCAGACAACAAGGTCTGCTATATACATACGCACTCACATCGACTGTCTGCCTAGTTCAGACATGGCCTGATCGTCGGACAACCAGGTCTGCTATATACACATACGCACTCACATCGACTGTCTGCCAAGTCTGGCAGAGATGGCCTGATCGTCAGACAACAAGGTCTGCTATATACATACGCACTCACATCGACTGTCTGCCAAGTCTGGCAGAGATGGCCTGATCGTCAGACAACAAGGTCTGCTATATACATACGCACTCACATCGACTGTCTGCCTAGTTCAGACATGGCCTGATCGTCGGACAACCAGGTCTGCTATATACACATACGCACTCACACCGACTGTCTGCCAAGTTTGTCAGAGATGGCCTGTTCGTCAGACAACAAGGTCTGCTATATACATACGCACTCACATCGACTGTCTGCCTAGTTCAGACATGGCCTGATCGTCAGACAACAAGGTCTGCTATATACATACGCACTCACACCGACTGTCTGCCAAGTCTGGCAGAGATGGCCTGATCGTCAGACAACAAGGTCTGCTATATACATACGCACTCACATCGACTGTCTGCCAAGTTTGTCTGACATGGCCTGATCGTCAGACAACAAGGTCTGCTATATACATACGCACTCACATCGACTGTCTGCCAAGTTTGTCTGACATGGCCTGATCGTCAGACAACCAGGTATGCTATATATATATATACATACGCACTCACATCGACTGTCTGCCAAGTTTGTCAGACATGGCCTGATCGTCAGACAACAAGGTCTGCTATATACATACGCACTCACATCGACTGTCTGCCAAGTTTGTCAGACATGGCCTGATCGTCAGACAACAAGGTCTGCTATATACATACGCACTCACATCGACTGTCTGCCAAGTTTGTCTGACATGGCCTGATCGTCAGACAACAAGGTCTGCTATATACATACGCACTCACATCGACTGTCTGCCAAGTTTGTCAGACATGGCCTGATCGTCAGACAACCAGGTCTGCTATATATATATATATATATATATATATATATATATATATATATATATATATATATATATACTACCCATCATAAGTTTAGACTCACCAGTGTAAATGTAGCCACTCACTATACTCAACTGTTTCAAACCAGATAATGCCAAATATTCTAAACTTTTTACAGGTACTGTTAGCACATGAACTGTTGTGGCGTAAAACCAAATCTGTATCGGTGAAAAGATTAGAGTTTTTCGTTCATTAATTGATTAAACTCTGTGAAATGTCGCACATTTTTAAACAAAATTCGCACCAAAACGCAGGTGTTCACATGCACGATAATGCACGTGTTTTAGCAGCAATTTGACGCGGGATACTCGTGCAATTCATCTTTATAAGGATTGCAGTTGGCTCTTCTGAGTTAGTGGAGAAATTCTTCTTTGATGCAAGCATGGGTAGAGGGAGACGTCTCCGTATTGAGCAACGACATCAAGCCTTGGCACTGCTACAAGATGGCAGATCACAACGGTTTGTTGCCAGACGTCTTGGCGTATCCCAATAGGCAGTTTCCAACCTCTGGGTACGCTTTCAACAGACCAACTCCGTCCAGGATCGACCCAGGTCGGGTAGGTCAAGGGTAACATCACAGCAAGATGACCGATGCGTCTTTTTGCTGTTTCTCAGGGGCAGACACATTACAGCCACAGCAGCCAATAATGCTTTCCAACAAGCTACAGGACGACGTGTATCTGTATCAACAATACGCCGCCGATAACGTCACTACGGACTGCGGGCACGTCGTCTAGCTGTAAGACCCCCTCTTACACCACGCCACCGTCAGAACAGACTGAATTGGGGAAATGGACATTTACGCTGGGGTCCCCGCAGATGGGCAAGGGTACTCTTCTCCGACGAATCAAGGTTCAATCTGCATTTCAACGATGGTCGGATCCCAGTCTACAGACGTCAGGGAGAGCGGTACGCTGACGTTGCTGTTGTGGAGCATGATCGATTTGGAGGTGGATCCGTTATCGTCTGGGGAGGTATCACCCTGACTGGAAGAACTGATTTACTGGTACAGGATGGAAATCTGACTGGCCAGAGATACAGGGACGAGATCATCATTCCTATTGTGCTTCCATTCTTTAGGGCCATGCCAGGTCACGCGGTTTTCAAAGATGATAATGCCAGGCCTCACAGAGCTCGCATCGTGTCAGCTTGTTTACAACAAAATGGGGTGAATCGAATGGATTAGCGAGCATTATCGCCCGATATGAACCCCACTGAGCATGTTTGGGATCTGCTGGGACGGCGTGTTTATGCCAGAGTTCCTCCCCCTGCTAACCTTCGCCAACTTCGCAATGCATTGTTTGAGGAGTGGCAAACATTCCCCAGCGGCAGATTGAACTGTTCTTTCGTGGTATGCAACGTCGATGCAATGTCTGTGTTAGAGCCAGGGGTGGTCATACCCGTTATTAAATTTTGCAATTTCACTTTTGTATGGTACTAGCCAATACGGCATTCTGGTTCACTAATCATCAATGCACACGTCCTTGTGAACAAGGATATGAAGACCTAAATGAATGATTTTGTTATTTTTTATCGGTAGCTTTCACAAATACGATTTTCTTACGAGATATAGTGAGTGGTTTCAGTGAGTCTAAACTTTTGATGGGTAGTATATATATATATATATATATATATATATATATATATATATGCCATGATTGTACACATAATGCCACCTGTCCTTAGACAAATCGCTGGGGTTAATCTAATCCGACCATGTTGGATACTGCTGTGGCATGAACTGTTTACTCATTGGATTATTTACATTGTTCCTCCCCTTGTAACCCGACCTTTGGTTCAATCTTGACGCGCTCTGGTCGTGAATGTTGCCAGTCTAGGATAGGCCTCGTGATTTTACATCAAATCGATATGGTAGGGTTACGAGTAATATTAATGAATTGAGACGGATTCGGTTACTGATTGTAAGTCCTTGCAGAGTTTTCCTGTTTTCATAACCGCTGGCGATACGAAAAAGACCAGGACAATAATTGCCAGTGGGAGATATCCTATTGTGGGTATTTCTACCACATCGTCGCTTTCCCGAGGATAATGTGTGCATGGCATAGAATAATATACTATTGTACCAACTGTATAATGCAGTATGATATAATTCAACGTTATCTAGCTCTATTCCACGTGGATACCGTGTGCCTTTATCTGACATTGCACTGCCTCTGTTTTTCTAGAGGTTAGAGGGTCTGTGGAAGGCGGAGGTTCGACCCCTGGCCACGTCAAATCAAAAGACGTTTAGAGCGGACAGCCCTGTATCATTTCGACGAAATCATGAAATACCTCCACTGTTTTCGCCCCATGACTATAACGACATGTAAAAATATACACTGCTTGCAACAAACATTTGACTGTAACCTCATTTAACTTCATAGTCAGCCAGTGGTATATAGTACGTTGTGAGCAATATATGTCTGCTACCTAGTTCCCTCCCCTGACAGCAACACACATGCATCTCCTCATGCTGTGCATGTAGTTGGACTAAAGTATCATGTTGGCCGAGACACAGCGATACATACACATTTATGAAGAGATGGGATTCGGATAAAGTCGTGTTGAATTGAATTTCATGGCTACAATAAAGAACAACAATCTTAACATATATGTATGTTATCTAAGGACAATACTACAAGCTGTTGTGGTTTGCATCAATGGGGTTATTTATTTTTGAAAACAATAAGCATCACCATAACTGAATTACTTTAACAAAGACTTCAAAATATATAATTCAAAGTCAATGTGGTTGTCGGCAGTGGATCTTGAGATTAAAAGGGAAAGACGAAAATGTGTACTGTGGGAGGTGCTAGGTTCCCACTATATGACGTTTGATGCTCCACTGGGATATTGCAGCATGACAGCAGGAAGCAGATGGTTCCGGTGATGGTCCTCTGTCTTCCTTGTACACCGAGAACCAGCTCGGCAAGTGGGCACAGCTCCCGTCACAGATATTCTGTACCTGACCTCACTTCGCCAACTAGCTGTAATCAGGTCGAGAATAGAACGTGCAAATACTCTCTTTATAGTCAGATCGATAATGGCACCAAATTGGCACTCTGAATATGAAAGAACTATCACGTATGATTTATTAATGTAATTGGATTAACAACATGTGTAATTTTGCATGGTCTTTGGTGACCATGGGCGATGAATACTGTTGGTGGTCAGTAGATTTCATCTTCCGGACAAGTCTCTTGAGACTTTACTTTATTCTTACACTTACTTATTCCCCCACTTACATGTACAGGTGATTAGATGTCGATATTTCGCTTTCCTTGTAACCACATAGGGTAACTGTAATGGACGTGTCTGCATACTGACGTACGTGGCTGAATGGTAACTTACATACCCATGTACAACCCCTGCAGTAACCCTGCAACAAAACCCCTGTCTCATCATTGATGCATGCATTGGTATATGCCACAAAGGAATCGTCTTTTCCCACAGGGGTTTGTTCATCACCATCCATGACCGCGGGCACGTCAGCGACATACTGTACAACTGGCCAGTGGATGACGTGAAGGTAAGTATGTAGCTATGCTGAGTGTATAGGAAAACGCTTATCATAACCACACCAATTTCCTGCAGGAAAAATATCACCGACAAAGCTGTATTGTGTAAAACGTCATATAGTGTGAGGTAATCTTGAACGCGACGTTAAACGCCATTTCACATTTCTCTTAAATATTCAAGGGCAGAGCCCAAGTGTAGTGAGAGACATGACACCTCATATAATTCCCTCCGCAGTGGCAGTCATCGAGGCGCTAATAAAATACCCTTTTCTTCCAAATGCAGGCCATTGTTGTCACTGACGGAGAACGAATTTTGGGCCTTGGTGACTTAGGGGCGTATGGAATGGGCATACCCGTGGGTAAGCTGTCCCTGTACACCGCCCTCGCGGGTGTCAAACCTCACCAGTGTCTCCCCATCACGATCGACGTCGGAACTGATAACCAGGTACCGTATTTTGGCTTCTGTCAAAAGATAGTGAGTATGGTTTTAATCCGCTTAATCAGCAGTATGTCAGGGCGGCCTTCACACATTTGACCCGGGTCGGGAATCAAACTTCGGCATTAAGAGCGAATGCTTTAACCACTAGGCTGCCCAACCGCAGGAGATGAGGTGGGTTAGTTCCTCGTGGAACAGTTGATTTCATTAGCGTTAGATCTAACTTGGCCAGATCCTGCAGCCGCTTCTGTGAGATGTAGAAATATGCAAAATAGACAAGAACGCTTTCAGGAATGATCTGCTCCAACACTTTGTGATCACTTTGTGAAACTATACAAAAATAAAGGTGCTTAAGGACAAACATGCTCCTGAAATTATTAAGGCAAAACCCCCAGAGACCTGATTCAATCTGGATATTCACTCCAGGAGTCAGCTCGGCCAAAATACCGAAAAGAAAAGCTGAAAGGAGGTAGGAAAGCATCTAGAAATTCACAGGCAACTGTATAGTTCTGCAAGGAATAGGGTTACATCAGTTATCAAGTACAAAACGCCCAAGCCAGAGAACCACTCGTCTCAAATATACGCTGAAATAGACGCAGTAAACGTAAAAACATTAATACCAAAAGCAATGACGCTTCTTCAAACCAAAATGTTCTCTACAGACTCTTGGTCACCTTGATGGGTAAAAGCGCAAAAAAATCCCTTCCGTAAAGTGGAGACATTCATTATAGTGCTCAATCCTTTCCAAGTATGTTGACACCAAGTTAATGCGGGAGCAACTGAAGTATACAACCAACTGCCACAGTGATATATCTCTTAAGCCATTCCAGAAAGAAAACTCACTACATTTGAACCATCCACATGAGAATAGATCATGTTATTTCTCAGAAGAACTAAACCAATATCTGAATGAGAACATTGGCATACTGCTCCCAGCTGTAACCAGACACACGTTTGACGTCAGGCATTATACCATCCGATTTGTTAAAAGCTTTGGTTAAGCCACTTCTTCAAAGTAAGATTGGACCCAGATAACCTGAAACATTATGGACTGGTTTCAAACCTGTTTTTAATGTCGAAGCTTATTGAAAAAGCAGTTTCTAGGGGCTAATCAAAACACATTTCAGACCACAAACTACACGAAAGTTTTCCGTCAGTCTTTACCACATGTTGGCATGGAAACTGCTCTTGTAAGAGTTTTGGATGATCGTAGACGTGGGATAGATGCTGGAAATATGGCTCTGCTGGCGAGAACGAGGTCCGGCGTACGACGACTTGGTGGATCTATCTGACAGATTTCAGACAGTCTACATTGCTGGTCTATCAGCAGCTGACTTGCCCCTGAAGTGTGAGTACCGCAAGGGTCTGTACTAGGACCAGTCCTTTTCACGTTGTATAATCAACTTCTGGGAGAAAATAGAAGAGCAACACAATCTTCATCATCATGTTTATACTGATGATTCTAAACCGGTATCAATATTCAAACCCAGTCCTTCAGCAGCTACAGAAGCGGTCACACAGTCAGCAGAGTGTTTTGAAGACATTGAACATTGGATGGCATTCAGTATTCTCAAAGTCAGTGGGGAGAGACGGAGTCCATTCTCATAGGCCCAGCAAACAGACGTGGAAAAACCGGGCTAGAACCCATTATAGGACTAGGTGCTACACCAGTCGAACTCACCAGCACTGTTAAAGATCTCGGCGTTATTCTCGAATATGTACCTCAGAAAGGTTTGCTTCTTGCACATATTAGAAAGCTTCCCACAAAAGACTGCTTTAAAACTAGTTATATTCTTAGTTCCGAGTTGACTATTGCAATGTTCAACTGACCGGTGCTCCTTAAGTGCCGACTTATGAAATTACAAATGCCAGGATTGTATCACAATGCCCTAAACACAGATGCCAGGGTTGAATCACTATGCCCTAAACACAGATGCCAGGATTGTATCACTATGCCCTAAATACAGATACCAGGATTGTATCACTATGCCCTAAATACAGATGCCAGGAATGTATCACTATGCCCTAAACACGGATGCCAGGAATGTACCACTATGCCCTAAACACAGATGCCAGGATTGTATCACTATGCCCTAAACACAAATGCCAGGAATATATCACTATGCACTAAACACAGATACCAGGATTGTATCACTATGCCCGAAACACAGATGCCAGGAATGTATCACTATGCCCTTAACACAGATGCCAGGATTGTATCACTATGCCCTAAACACAAATGCCAGGAATATATCACTATGCCCTAATCACAGATGCTAGGATTGTATCACAATGCCCTAAACACAGATGCCAGGATTGTATCACTATGCCCTAAACACAAATGCCAGGAATATATCACTATGCCCTAAATACAGATACCAGGATTGTATCAGTATGCCCTAAACACAGATGCCAGGATTGTATCACTATGCCCTAAACACAAATGCCAGGAATATATCACTATGCCCTAAACACAGATGCTAGGATTGTATCACAATGCCCTAAACACAGATGCCAGGGTTTAATCACTATACCCTAAACACAGACGCCAGGATTGTATCACTATGCCCTAAACACAGATGACAGGGTTGTATCACTATACCCTAAACACAGACGCCAGGATTGTATCACTATGCCTTAAACACAGATGACAGGGTTGTATCACTATGCCCTAAACACAGATGACAGGGTTGTATCAGTATGCCCTAAACACATATGCCAGGAATGTATCACTATGCCCTAAACACTGATGCAAGGAATGTATCACTATGCCCTAAACACAGATGCCAGGATTGTATCACTATGCCCTAAACACAGATGCCAGGAATATATCACTATGCCCTAAACACAGATGCTAGGATTGTATCACAATGCCCTAAACACAGATGCCAGGGTTTAATCACTATACCCTAAACACAGACGCCAGGATTGTATCACTATGCCCTAAACACAGATGACAGGGTTGTATCAGTATGCCCTAAACACAGATACCAGGATTGTATCACTATGCCTTAAACACAGATGCCAGGAATGTATCACTATGCCCTAAACACTGATGCAAGGAATGTACCACTATGCCCTAAACACAGATGCCAGGAATGTATCACTATGCCCTAAACACAGATGCCAGGACTATCTCACGATGTCCTAAACACATATACCAGGATTGTATCACTATGCCCTAAATACAGATGCCAGGATTATATCACTATGCCCTAAACACAAATGCCAGGATTGTTTCACTATGCCCTAAACACAGATGCCAGGATTGTATCACTATGCCCTAGACACAGATGCCAGGATTTTATCACTATGCCCTAAACATAAATGCCAGGATAGTATCACAATGCCCCAAACAGACATGCCAGGATTGTATCACTATGCCCTAAACACAAATGCCAGGATTGTATCACTATGCCCTAAATACAGATGCCAGGAATATATCACAATGCCCTAAACACAGATGCCAGGGTTGAATCACTATGCCCTAAACACAGATGCCAGGATTGTATCACTATGCCCTCAACACAGATACCGGGATTGTATCACTATGCCCTAAATACAGATGCCAGGAATGTATCACTATGCCCTAAACACAGATGCCAGGAATGTACCACTATGCCCTAAACACAGATGGCAGGAATGTATCACTATGCCCTTAACACAGATGCCAGGAATGTATCACTATGCCCTAAACACAGATGCCAGGAATGTATCACTTTGCCCTAAACACAGATGCCAGGATTGTATCACTATGCCCTAAATACAGATGCCAGGTTTATATCACAATGCCCTAAACACTGATCCCCAGGAATGTATAACTATGCCCTAAACACGGATGCCAGGATTGTAACACTATGCCCTCAACACGGATGCCAGGATTGTAACACTATGCCCTCAACACAGATGCCAGGATTGTATCACTATGCCCTAAATACAGATGCCAGGAATGTATCACTATGCCCTAAACACAGATGCAAGGAATGTACCACTATGCCCTTAACACAGATACCAGGATTGTATCACTATGCCCTAAACACAGATGCCAGGATTGTCTCACTATGCCCTAAACACAGATGCCAGGGATGTATCACTATGCCCTAAACACAGATGCCAGGATTATATCACTATGCCCTAAACACAGATGCCAGGATTATATCACTATGCCGTAAACACAGATGCCAGGATTGTATCACTATGCCCTAAACATAAATGCCAGGATAGTATCACTATGCCCCAAACAGACATGCCAGGAATGTATCACTATGCCCTAAACACAAATGCCAGGAATATATCACTATGCCCTAAACACAGATGCTAGGATTGTATCACAATGCCCTAAACACAGACGCCAGGATTGTATCACTATGCCCTTAACACAGATGACAGGGTTTAATCACTATACCCTAAACACAGACGCCAGGATTGTATCACTATGCCCTAAACACAGATGACAGGGTTGTATCAGTATGCCCTAAACACAGATGCCAGGATTGTATCACTATGCCCTAAACATAAATGCCAGGATAGTATCACTATGCCCCAAACAGACATGCCAGGAATGTATCACTATGCCCTAAACACAAATGCCAGGAATATATCACTATGCCCTAAACACAGATGCTAGGATTGTATCACAATGCCCTAAACACAGACGCCAGGATTGTATCACTATGCCCTTAACACAGATGACAGGGTTTAATCACTATACCCTAAACACAGACGCCAGGATTGTATCAGTATGCCCTAAACACAGATACCAGGATTGTATCACTATGCCCTAAACACTGATGCAAGGAATGTACCACTATGCCCTAAACACTGATGCATGGAATGTACAACCATGCCCTAAACACAAATGCGAGGATTGTATCACTATGCCCTAAACACAGATGCCAGGAATGTATCACTATGCCCTAAACACTGATGCATGGAATGTACCACCATGCCCTAAACACAGATGCCAGGAATGTATCACTATGCCCTAAACACAGATGCCAGGAATGTATCACTATGCCCTAAATACAGATGCCAGGATTATATCACTATGCCCTAAATACAGATGCCAGGAATATATCACAATGCCCTAAACACAGATGCCAGGGTTGAATCACTATGCCCTAAACACAGACGCCAGGATTGTATCACTATGCCCTAAACACAGATGCCAGGGTTGTATCACTATGTCCTAAACACAGATACCAGGATTGTATCACTATGCCCTAAACACAGATGCCAAGATTGTATCACTATGCCCTAAATACAGATGCCAGGAATGTATCACTATGCCCTAAACACGGATGCCAGGATTGTATCACTATGCCCTAAACACAGATGCCAGGATTGTATCACTATGCCCTAAACATAAATGCCAGGATAGTATCACAATGCCCCAAACAGACATGCCAGGATTGTATCACTATGCCCTAAACACAAATGCCAGGATTGTATCACTATGCCCTAAACACAGATACCAGGATTGTTTCACTATGCCCTAAACACAGATGCCAGGGATGTATCACTATGCCCTAAACACAGATGCCAGGATTATATCACTATGCCCTAAACGAATATGCCAGGAATGTATCACTATGCCCTAAACACAGATGCCAGGAGTGTATCACTATGCCCTAAACACAAATGCCAGGATTGTATCACTATGCCCTAAACACAGATATCAAGATTGTATCACTATGCCCTAGACAAAGATGCCAGGATTGTATCACTGTGCCCTAAACACAAATGCCAGGATATTATCACTATGCCCCAAACAGAGATGCCAGGAATGTATCACTTTGCCCTAAACACAAATTTTAAATGCCAGGATAGTATCACTATGCCCCAAACAGAGATGCCAGGATTATATCACTATGCCCTAAACACAAATGCCAGGATTGTATCTCTATGCCCTAAACACAGATATCAAGATTGTATCACTATGCCCTAGACACAGATGCCAGGATTGTATCACTATGCCCTAAACACAAAATGCCAGGATAGTATCACTATGCCCCAAACAGAGATGCCAGGAATGTATCACTATGCTCTAAACACAAATGCCAGGAATGTATCACTATGCCCTAATTACAGATGCCAGGAATGTACCACTATGCCCTAAACACAGATGCCAGGACTATCTCACTATGCCCTAAACACAGATACCAGGATTGTATCACTATGCCCTAAACACAGATATCAAGATTGTATCACTATGCCCTAGACACATATGCCAGGATTATATCACTATGCCCTAAACACAAATGCCAGGATAGTATCACTATGCCCCAAACAGAGATGCCAGGAATGTATCACTATGCCCTAAACACAAATGCCAGGAATGTATCACCATACCCTAAATACAGATGCCAGGATTGTATCACTATGCCCTAAACACAGATGCCAGGAATGTATCACTATGCCCTTAACACAGATGCCAGGAATGTATCACTATGCCCTAAACACAGATACCAGGATTGTACCACTATGCCCTATACACAGATGCCAGGATTGTATCACTATGCCCTAAACACAAATGTCAGGATTGTATCACTATGCCCTAAACACAGATGCCAGAGTTGAATTACTATGCCCTTAACACAGATGCCAGGATTATATCACTATGCCCTAAACACAAATGCCAGGATTGTATCACTATGCCCTTAACACAGATATCAGGATTGTATCACTGTGCCCTAGACACAGATGCCAGGATTGTATCACTATGCCCTAAACACAAATGCCAGGATAGTATCACTATGCCGCAAACAGAGATGCCAGGAATGTATCACTATGCCCTAATTACAGATGCCAGGAATGTACCACTATGCCCGAAACACAGATGCCAGGAATGTATCATAATGTCCTAAACACAGATGCCAGAATTGTATCACTATGCCCCAAACAGAGATGCCAGGAATGTACCACTTTGCCCTAAACACAGATGCCAGGATTGTATCACTATGCCCTTAACACAGATGCCAGGATTATATCACTATGCCCTAAACACAAATGCCAGGATTGTATCACTATGCCCTTAACACAGATATCAGGATTGTATCACTGTGCCCTAGACACAGATGCCAGGATTGTATCACTATGCCCTAAACACAAATGCCAGGATAGTATCACTATGCCGCAAACAGAGATGCCAGGAATGTATCACTATGCCCTTATTACAGATGCCAGGAATGTACCACTATGCCCGAAACACAGATGCCAGGAATGTATCATAATGTCCTAAACACAGATGCCAGAATTGTATCACTATGCCCCAAACAGAGATGCCAGGAATGTACCACTTTGCCCTAAACACAGATGCCAGGATTGTATCACTATGCCCTAAACACAGATGCCAGGATTGTATCACTATGCCCAAAACACAGATACCAGGAATGTGTCACAATGCCCTAAACACAGATGCCAGGGCTGCCTGGCTATGGCCTGAACAGAGTTACCATTCATCATCATCATCATCATCATCATTATTATCAATAATGTAAACAGTTGACCATACACAATATTGCCTTAACAGTTATCATTCTGTTTCCAAACTCCAGACCCTTCTAACGGATCCGCTATACATCGGCCTGAAACAGAAGCGAGAACGAGGTCCGGCGTACGACGACTTGGTGGATGAGTTCATGGAAGCGGTGGTCGAAAGGTACTTAAACATTCCCATCAAGGTAGCTGCAGGTCAGAGTAACACAGCTACCCTGGTGTGAGAACGTAGCCAGGATGAACTGGTGTGATAGCATAACCCAGATGCGCTGGTGTGACATCATAGCCGGGCTACACCAGTATGACAACTGCTTCTGGTTGTATTGGTGTGAGAACTGCTTCCGGCTGTATTGGTGTGAGAATTGCTTCCGGCTGTATTGGTGTGGGAACCCAAATCTGGATTGATCAATGCCCACGTTACTAATTCGTATCTCGCATCATCACTGGGTGCGAATCTCAATCATCCAACATAAACAGTTACTACATACACAAGACATGTTTATGTTTAGGTACGGCAAGAACTGCCTAATTCAGTTCGAAGACTTCGGCAATGCCAACGCCTTCCGACTCCTTGACAAGTACAGAGGGTCCTACTGTTCCTTTAACGACGACATTCAAGGTAACCCATTTCTACAAACAGTGGCGCTGGCATTCACTCCATACAGAACATGAGCATGTTTTGTATACAGTTGTGACAGAGTGTGTGGGGCATCCTGCCACATAAACATAAACTCTAGCCATGTTTATCTTCAAGGGATGAAAGCTAAATTTGAACTCATTCATGTGTGAAAAATGTATTCTAGAAATATATTATGCACGAATTGACCTTTTGAGATCTTAATCCTCTTTATGTAGCGTTTGTGGTTCAGGGCTGGGATGAAATGTGTGTTTTAAACTGGGAGCGTGTAAACGTGATGAAAAACGAGTGTGTGGAAAACGTGATGAAAAACGAGGTGTGGATTGCCTAATCACTTGTTAAGCACCATTACAACACCACATGCCTATATTCCGGTATATCATGTGTACAACACATGACACTTTAATAAAATTGTTTAGTACTATTCTTATCTTATTAGTCATGCAACTAGGTAACATGGTGATCAGATGATACCCGCCCATTTTGATGTGGCATCTACCCGCTTCGTCTTTTTAAAAAAAATCAGGTAAACAACAACATCATCATCATCAACAACAATAATAATTATTTTCTGTCCCTTTTGACACTAATGTGATTGACAAGATACAGGAAAAACATAGGAAATATGCGGACCTCGCTTTCGAAATGTCACGCTTGTACCAAGTTGTTCGACTCCTCATTGTTCTCGGTGCCTTAGGTGTGGCACCTCCCAATCTGTTGCCTGACATTGGGAGAGTACCCGGGTTTGCTACCAGGAATACAGCCCTTCTGACAATCTGGATAATGCAGAAGGCTGCAGTGTTGGGGAGTCTTCACATTCTCCGAAAAGTTCTTGGTGGGTTTGACTAGGCAGCGCTTCCTGGGAGAAGTCCCATTCGCTGTCTGGGCTGCTTGTAGAGGGGGCAAGGGCCCTGAGCTGATGATGAACCTAACCAGCCTGACTGCCAGGATCACCCAAACCCTCTTTGCTGCATTTCTTTTATTTAAATCTGTAAATAATGATAATGCTGGGTGAAAAGAGGCACATTTCGAACAAAGTAACGTGCCCAAGGAGACAGCACTTGTGTTGCATGTCAGTGTGGGGCTGGACCAAAGCCCTTGAAACTCTCAGGAGCCAGGTAATTAGACAACCCAGGAACAGTCAGGAACAGGAACAGTTCTTAATTGAAAAATGAACCCGTAGTTAAAACGTATCCCTTTACTAAGTATTTGAATATATTATCTGCTATTAATCTCTATATTGTCAAACTATCTTAGTTCACTTACATTTCATAACTGAAAAAATACTTTAATTAATCTTATCCTATTACTAAGAATAAAGTTGGCTGTACATTGACAGAGTCTGGGGATGAACTGGTACTCACCACCTTGTTAATATTGGAATGTATAGTTTGAATATAAGCATTAAGTATTCATGTTAAGAATGCTTGGTGTATCCTACCGTATAGCCCCTTGCTTCAGCACGTTGACTCGTGTGTTCCAGGTACGGCAGCCGTGGCTGTCGCGGGCATCCTAGCCAGTGTCAAGATAACAGGAAAAGCACTGGTTGACCAGAAGTTCGTCTTCCAAGGAGCAGGGGAGGTGATAAAACATTGATTCGAGATAAGCATATTTAGACTGATATTCATATGTTCTTCTTCGAATTACCTACACGAAATGACAGTTCAATATGAATATATAGCTATACCTAAATTGTGATTTGCCTTTGCAGGCATCCATAGGGATTGCTTATCTGTTGGTGAAGGCGCTTCAAAAGCAAGGTCTGTCGCATGACGAGGCTGTGTCGAGGATCTGTATGGTCGATTCCAGGGGTCTTATTACAAAGGTAGGTAGACGCTTTCACATAGGCAACTATCGTCCTTGGTTTATGTCTGCACATCGATAGGAGTTGGGTTACTCAACGCCATAAACATGTTTAATGTTTGTATTTGTCTTTCATAGAACCGCCCAAAGGGAGGTGTGACAGCTCACAAGGCTCACTTCGCTCAAGTGCGAGACCCTATCGACACCCTGGAAGAGGTGGTCGCCATTGTCAAGCCAACATGTATAATAGGTAAGGACAGCCCTCCCTGGAGGCCGTCATGTAAAATAGTTAAAAGAAAGGTGAAAGGTTCTCGGATGGTAAGGTTTTACGTCACATATAGTATCAAAGGGCTTTGAATTTACCAGGCGCAGCTGCAGTCCCTGGCGCCTTCAGTGAGCAGATACTCAAAGCCATGGCGGACTTCAACCATCGTCCCATCGTATTCGCACTCAGTAACCCAACAAGCAAAGCTGAGTGCACAGCAGAACAGGCATACACATTTACTAATGTACGTATGACTAATACAATTTTCATAACTTGTGTATTTACATCTTTTTCTCCTTAAACATTGTTGTTACATTTACAGTTTCATAATACGTTGCCAATGAAACATCACGATTAGTCGGGCAGACTAGGAGGAACGTTTCCTTAGATTTTAAGAAGCAAATGGAATATTTTCAAACTTAATGCATGTTAATGTTAAGATGACATGGTAAACTGTATGGTCAAGATAAAAAAAAGTGCTTAATTGTAACTTTCCATTGAAGTAACTGTACACTGTATTCATGGATCATCTAAGGAAGACGCAAATGTTGGGACCAGGAACGTGACGTAGATTTTCAGTTGAATGATGGAGTGTATTTATTTAACACCATATTGGGTGACTGATGTTATTAACGTTGCAATGTAGTACACCTAACGTTAATGTTTTAAGTTTTAAGGTACCAAACGTTCAATCATAATATGTAGGAAACTTTAAATTGTCAATAAATGATACCAGTAAGATGAGTAATATTATGTTTGCTGTTTAAACTTTAAAAATTAAGTAGTAAAGCAAAGAAATACTTCTTTTTAATTTAACTTTGATTTTATAGGGCCAACGTTACTTACGTAATGACTGATATTTCGCACTTAGTATGATATTAAGAAACCTGTTAAAAAAATGGTGTTAGGGTGTCCAGAAGTACACCATCAACGAAGATCGGCACATAGCTGCAGTTGAGGCAGCTCAAATTAACTGCCAGTTGCCTATGTGACATGATAAGATAAATAGGCCACCAAACACCGATGAGTTTGTTATATGCAACCCAAGGTTTTGTCTCAATATGGTGAACTTTCTTCAACAAAAAGAGGAAACCATCCCTGAGAACTTTTCATCAACAGATCCTTGTGTCACTGACTTTAACACGTTCAATATAAACTCACCTATCCCTGACACACACACACCCCCCACCCCATCCCATCCCCCTCTGCTATACATGCATCCCATGTCAGTCACACTGATTTTGTGTGCCAGGGCCGAGCAGTGTTTGCCAGTGGGAGTCCATTCAAGGCCGTGACAGTTGGCGGCCAGACCTACCAGCCGGGGCAGGGCAACAACGCCTACATCTTCCCCGGGGTGGGGCTAGCAGCCATCGTGTGTGACATAAGGAACATCACCGAGGAAATCTTCCTGCACGCCGCCGAGGTCAGTAACATCCACAGAGATCGCCACACAAAATCATGTCGGGACACAATCTTAGGTAGATACCCACGACAGGACTGTTGCTAGACCCACAATGGTATTACACAGGACTGCTGCTACACCCACAATAGTATTACACAGGACTGCTGCTTCATCCACAACAGTATTACATAGGACTGCTGCTGCACCCACAATGGTATTACACAGGAATGTTGCTACACCCACAATGGTATTACACAGGACTGCTGCTGCACCCACAATGGTATTACACAGGAATGTTGCTACACCCACAATGGTATTACACAGGACTGCTGCTACACCCATAATGGTATTACACAGGACTGCTGCTACACCCACAATGGTATTACACAGGACTGCTGCTGCACCCACAATGGTATTACACAGGAATGTTGCTACACCCACAATGGTATTACACAGGACTGCTGCTACACCCATAATGGTATTACATAGGACTGCTGCTACACCCACAATGGTATTACACAGGAATGTTGCTACACCCACAATGGTATTACACAGGAATGTTGCTACACCCACAATGGTATTACACAGGACTGCTGCTACACCCATAATGGTATTACACAGGACTGCTGCTATACCCACAATGGTATTACACAGGGCTGCTGCTACACCCACAATGGTATTACACAGGACTGCTGCTACACCAATAATGGTATTACACAGGACTGCTGCTATACCCACAATAGAATTACACAGGGCTGCTGCTACACCCACAATGGTATTACACAGGACTGTTGCTACACCCACAATGGTATTACACAGGACTGTTGCTACATCCACAATGGTATTACACAGGACTGCTGCTACACCAATAATGGTATTACACAGGACTGCTGCTACACCCACAATGGTATTACACAGGACTGCTGCTACACCCACAATGGTATTACACAGGACTGCTGCTACACCCACAATGGTATAACACAGGACTGTTGCTACGTCCACAATGGTATTACACAGGAATGCTGCTAGACCCACAATGGTATTACACAGGAATGTTGCTATACCCACACTGGTATTACACAGGACTGTTGCTACACCCATAATTGTATTACACAGGACTTTTGCTACACCCACAATGGTATTACACAGGGCTGCTGCTACACCCATAATGGTATTACACAGGGCTGCTGCTACACCAATAATGGTATTACACAGGACTGTTGCTACACCCACAATGGTATTACACAGGACTGTTGCTATACCCACAATGGTATTACACAGGGCTGCTGCTACACCCACAATGGTATTACACAGGACTGCTGCTACATCCACAATGGTATTATACAGGACTTTTGCTATACCCACAATGGTATTACACAGGACTTTTGCTACACCCACAATGGTATTACACAGGGCTGCTGCTACACCCACAATGGTATTACACAGGACTGTTGCTATACCCACAATGGTATTACACAGGACTGCTGCTACATCCACAATGGTATTACACAGGACTGTTGCTACACCCATAATGGTATTACACAGGACTGTTGCTACACCCATAATGGTATTACACAGGACTGTTGCTACACCCACAATGGTATTACACAGAGCTGCTGCTACACCCACAATGGTATTACATAGGAGAGTTGCTATACCCACAATGGTATTACACAGGAATGTTGCTATACCCACAATGGTATTACACAGGACTGTTGCTACACCCACAATGGTATTACATAGGACTGTTGCTATACCCACAATGGTATTACACAGGACTGTTGCTATACCCACAATGGTATTACACAGGGCTGCTGCTACACCCACAATGGTATTACATAGGACTGTTGCTACACTCACAATGGTATTACACAGGACTGCTGCTACACCAATAATGGTATTACACAGGACTGTTGCTATACCCACAATGGTATTACACAGGACTGCTGCTACATCCACAATGGTATTACACAGGACTGTTGCTATACCCACAATGGTATTACACAGGACTGTTGCTACACCCATAATGGTATTACACAGGACTGTTGCTACACCCACAATGGTATTACTATTACACAGGGCTGCTGCTACACCCACAATGGTATTTACACAGGACTGTTGCTATACCCACAATGGTATTACACAGGGCTGCTGCTACACCCACAATGGTATTACACAGGAATGTTGCTACATCCACAATGGTATTACACAGGGCTACTGCTACACCCACAATGGTATTACACAGGACTGTTGCTATACCCACAATGGTATTACACAGGACTGCTGCTATACCCACAATGGTATTACACAGGACTGCTGCTATATCCACAATGGTATTACACAGGACTGTTGCTACATCCACAACGGTATTACACAGGACTGCTTCTACATCCACAATGGTATTACACAGGACTGTTGCTACATCCACAATGGTATTACACAGGACTGCTGCTATACCCTCACTGGTATTAAACAGGACTGCTGCTATACCCATAATGGTATTACACAGGACTGTTGCTACATCCACAATGGTATTACACAGGACTGCTGCTATACCCACAATGGTATTACACAGGGCTGCTGCTACACCCACAATGGTATTACACAGGACTGCTGCTATACCCACAATGGTATTACACAGGACTGTTGCTATACCCATAATGGTATTACACAGGACTGTTGCTACACCCACAATGGTATTACACAGGAATGTTGCTACGTCCACAATGGTATTACACAGGACTGCTGCTATACCCACAATGGTATTACACAGGACTGTTGCTATACCCACAATGGTATTACACAGGACTGCTGCTATACCCATAATGGTATTACACAGGACTGTTGCTATATCCACAATGGTATTACACAGGACTGTTGCTACATCCACAACGGTATTACACAGGACTGCTTCTACATCCACAATGGTATTACACAGGACTGTTGCTACATCCACAATGGTATTACACAGGACTGCTGCTATACCCTCACTGGTATTAAACAGGACTGCTGCTATACCCATAATGGTATTACACAGGACTGTTGCTACATCCACAATGGTATTACACAGGACTGCTGCTATACCCACAATGGTATTACACAGGGCTGCTGCTACACCCACAATGGTATTACACAGGACTGCTGCTATACCCACAATGGTATTACACAGGACTGTTGCTATACCCATAATGGTATTACACAGGACTGTTGCTATATCCACAATGGTATTACACAGGACTGTTGCTACATCCACAACGGTATTACACAGGACTGCTTCTACATCCACAATGGTATTACACAGGACTGTTGCTACATCCACAATGGTATTACACAGGACTGCTGCTATACCCTCACTGGTATTAAACAGGACTGCTGCTATACCCATAATGGTATTACACAGGACTGTTGCTACATCCACAATGGTATTACACAGGACTGCTGCTATACCCACAATGGTATTACACAGGGCTGCTGCTACACCCACAATGGTATTACACAGGACTGCTGCTATACCCATAATGGTATTACACAGGACTGTTGCTACGTCCATAATGGTATTACACAGGGCTGCTGCTACACCCACAATGGTATTACACAGGACTGCTGCTATACCCATAATGGTATTACACAGGACTGTTGCTACACCCACAATGGTATTACCGAGAGTTATAGCTACACCCACAATGGTATTACACACAACTGTTGCTGCACTCACAATGGTATTACACAGGACTGCTGCTATACCCATAATGGTATTACACACAAGTTATAGCTACACCCATAATGGTATTACACACAACTGTTGCTGCACTCACAATGGCATTACACACAAGTTATAGCTACACACTCAATGGTATTACACACAGGTTATAGCTACACCCATAATGGTATTACACACAACTGTTGCTGCACTCACAATGGCATTACACACAAGTTATAGCTACACACTCAATGGTATTACACACAGGTTATAGCTACACCCACAATGGTATTACACACAACTGTTGCTGCACTCACAATGGCATTACACACAAGTTATAGCTACACACTCAATGGTATTACACACAGGTTATAGCTACACCCACAATGGTATTAGACACAAGTTATAGCTACACACACGACGGTATTACACAGTTCTGCTGCTACACCAATAATGGTATTACACAGGACTGCTGTTACACCCACAATGGTATTACACACAAGTTATAGCTACACACACAATGGTATTACACAGTTCTGCTGCTACACCCATAATGGTATTACACACAACTACTGCTACACCCACAATGGTATTACACACAAGTTATAGCTACACACACAATGGTATTACACAGTTCTGCTGCTACACCCATAATGGTATTACACACAACGACTGCTACACCCACAATGGTATTACACACAAGTTATAGCTACACACACAATGGTATTACACAGGACTGCTGCTACACCCACAATGGTATTACACACAAGTTATAGCTACACACACGATGATATTACACAGGACTGTTACTGCACACACAATGACAATACTCCTCTGATGTAACGATAACAGTGTTTTAGTACAGTGTTTTTTGTCGATACACTCACAGTGGTATAAACGTTAGTGATGCTACCCTTACAGCGGTTGTCTGAACTGGTAACCAAGGAGCACCTGTCAGAGGGCCGCGTGTACCCCCCTCTCTCCGCCATCAGGGAGGTATCCACCAGCATCGCCGTTGCCGTCAGTGAGTTTGCCTACAAGGCCGGTCTCGCCTTACTGCAGCCTGAGCCCAAGGACAAGAGGGCAGCCATCACAGAGAGCCAGTACTGCACAGAGTATGCCGACTTCGTGCCCCCGGTGTGGGACTGGCCGGCTGGCCAGTCCTAGTATAGCTACAGAACATTACTGTATTGATGCAAAAATGGGTATGAAGCATTACTTTATCGAGACGTCCTAATGCTGGGGTGTAACGTTTAACTTGTAAGGGGCCAGAAACATTATCATGATGGCACCTACATAAAGTCACGCATTTCTATGCTTAACCCAAAAGTATAAAATATGCCATGGGGAAACATAAGGGTCTGACGTGTATGTAAGTTTAGGTTCGACATGCACATACATAGACATGTCCCTTGTATAAAGAAGGAGGCAATTTCTCAATATTTCAAAACTGGAATTTTGATTGTTTCTAATGTAAACTATTACTTGTAAACTAAATATGAATAGATGTTGTCTTAGGATTGTGTATTGTGAATTGTTCGGTCATTCCATGTCAATGTTTATCTAACGATATATCTCTTGAATGCGTTATTGCTTGTTATTTAATGAACATGTTTTACACGTTGCAGTTTGTTTTGTTTCAATGGCTAAAACATGCAATGAAATGACAAGAAAAACAATTCTACACAGGGTTGTTGATCTGTTGTATTTGAGTGTGATGGTTGAGGGGAACGGGCTGAAGGGGAGGATCGGATGAAGAGGGGGGTTTACTGTTCTGTCGTAGGAGTGGAAGGTGAATTGTAATTTGGACTCGTGACTTCAATTCGAGAGCGTGTGTGTGTGTGTGTGTGTGTGTGTGTGTGTGTGTGCGTGCGCGTGTGTTTGTGTTTAACTTAAAGAGAAAGGAAGGTGAACTGTTGTTAGGGAATGGGTTTGCTATTGCATCATGGGCGAATTTACCTTGGTCGCTGCGTGAAGTGCCAGTAGGACATGCAAAGATAGGTCATGCTTGTAGTGAAACATTCCGACTGGTGAATGGTTAATTGTCTTTCATCTACTTGGTGTGTTTTCAAAATGAACATTCCTAATGGGTTTTTTCTACAAACCATTTTTGTATAGTTACGATTGTAGCACTTGCTAGCACACGGCACACCTAGCGTGGCTGTGAAACTAGGTGATCAAGAAGCATGTCCGAGATCTCGGAAACCCGGTTACATGGAGGGTCACCGCCAGGTGGCAGGCTCCCACATTAGTCACAGAAGGTCATGGGAACTGTTCAGTGTGTTCAATACATAATAACCGCCTGGACAAGAGCACACCCATCTTTGAAGAAAGTTAAAGTGGAAATATCTGAATAAGTCAAGTGAGGCTATGTAATGGCATGTTTGTTCGGTTTACATCGTTGTCGTCGTCTGTACCATCTCCCTACAAGCCAGTGGACCAGTGAAGTTATACGTGGCCCACAATCATGTATAGCTCGGTAATTTTTTCAGTAAATTAACTGAAATTTAAAATGTGAGGATTGAGTAATGAGAATAAGTACACGGTCCTAGTTTGCAATCTTGATCTTCGATTGACTTGCAGACTGACCATGCTTTTATTTTCTCTGAAAACAGATCTGTGAAGATCTCCTCTGTAACTACTTGGTTGAGTGAGCATATGTTGTTGTCGTCCATCATAAAACATATCAAATTTGTCCTCCACGGTGGCCACATGTACACCTAACTCTTCCATGTATGTCCATGTATTCAAGCTTGGTACATACTAGTATGTAGTATGTATTGGGTTAGATACATGTGTATATATATTTTCGTTATATTTGAAATATTGACTTTGATTGGACCTTCACGCTTTGGGCATGTTCTTAAACTGTATCAAATACTGTTTTGGCTCTGTACACAAATACTCAGATACCACAAAACCCCTAAAGCTGTAACACCACAGGTTGTCCCTACAATTTGATTCGATTACGAATTTCGATTTTTGCATTTTAAAAAAAATACTTAAAATGCAATATCGGATCTGTAAACATCTTCTCGAAAACTGCCGGACTGATTAACCTGAACACGCTGTAACAATTTTTCAGTTTTTCGTTTTTTTTTATTAATATGTCTGTATGTTAATGGTTATAGGAGGTTCCAAAGCACCATGAAGGGAATTCAATTTCGGTTTCGCAGACGATATTGCAAAAGCACGTTTTTTCTCCTTTTTCTTAAAATCTGTTGAACCAAATTTGCCGAGACTAAATGACTAAATATCTGTGTCTATAATAAAGTTGAAGTGCCATAAAATATATAACATGAACAGGTTACTTGTTTTCTTAAAACGGTTAGAAAAACAATGATTTTTGTTTCAGACTAAGAACATTGTTGAGATTTAATTACTCGTTTCGTATTAACAGTCATCTGTACTTATACTTCATTAACAATGCTGACAGCAACTATTGTTAAGTGGCTGTTTTTGTTGATCGTTGACTAATTATCCAGGTGAGCTACAGTGCTGTGAAATTCTCCTGTGCGAGTATATCTGGCGTCTATGTCAGAATCAAGAAATTACGAATGTCATAATGAACACATCTGCTCAACATTCTGATGGTATAACTGTTCTCACCTTGACCCTGTGGAAGTGGCGGAGGTACTTTTGCTTCATGATCTGCATGCAGTGCAAACAGCCGAATTTGAGGAAGGGCAACATCATCCCCTGTTTCTCCGGCTGCGGCCCCGTCCTGCACTGCACCGCTATATAGCTGGGGTTGTCGGGCATGCTGATGGAACTGGCGGGTGACCTCCACAGTTATTTACAATATCATAGGCTGGTTTCGCACAATACACTGGGGGTCTCTGGGATCTCCTTCACAATCCACAAACTCTATCATTTGACAAAGAACACTTATATACACATGTCATATCTACACCCTCCAGTACTGGACAGTACTACACGTGTAACAGGCGCGTTCACATGCGATATGGCCGTTGCTGGCCCCACGCATTCTCATGACACAGCCCATTCATTTGGACTCTGGCCCGGTTGTTTCGTCCTAATAGGGCAACTTACTGCAGATGTAGTTGATAAAGTAACTTACTCCTTTATACCTCAGCAGATAGACAACGACCTTTAGGTAAATACACCGCCGGCCCACTGCCACCGAGTCCCAGCCATCGTCTCCATCATTCCACTGATGTGGTCTATGCTACACACAGAATGGACGTTATTTGTATCAGGTTCAGGCCTATCCACGGGTAACATATTTATCTTGAAGTCTGTTGGACATGATACAGATACCTGTGGTGTTGGTTAACTTGCAATATCCGAAGGACGGAAAGAAAACTACCACCCAAGTGAACGGTATTGATCACAGCCAACTGTTGGTGGAAATTGAAGGGAAATGGCTTTGTCGTCATTACTGGGGTATTAGTTCCCTTTGTAGAGTGACCAGTAAGCGTCGTGACGTGAGCAGGGGTGATGGAGAGGGAGGCGACGGAACTGGAGGCTGTGGGTGGGGCATCGCTGCCTGGTTACAAAGCTACCTGTCATGTTAGACTCGCGCTAGATTTGTCTCGCCTCCTGCTAATTACAAAATCAATGAGGACGTCAAAAGATGTGAGTGTTTGTGCCTGTCAGGTGTGTGGACAGATAGCGGTATTGAGCAGGCAGGACATTTGCCTCTGATTGATTGGGCGGTGTTACCACTCAAGTAGCATTTAACTCTCGCACTAATTTCCCCTTGTCCAACTCGAGATTCTTTAGAAGTCGTAATATTTCATTTCCAACCAGTTGATCCATTGATTCGCCACACACGTGTTCAAGAGATAAGTAAAAAACGATTCTCAACACTTTAATGTCTTAAAAATACCAAGTTTCATATCATTGTCACTAGTTCCATAAAAGTAATAATTTTTCACAATAAAACATGCAAACCACATCTCAATTATCTAAAGATATTGCACAGCAAACGACTATTCTATACGTATATGCTGGAGAGAGAGAGAGAGAGAGAGAGCGAGAGAGACCCGGTTTGATCAAACTTAAAAAATACATTAACGTGTCACTAAACCTCCTATAACTAATGTGCCAACAAGTATCAATCATTCGCTGTGTGTATATCACTTCTTAAAGTTATGACAGGACAGGCCGACTATCAACAACGTCTGAACGTGGCCGTGACGTCTCATAGACTAGGGTTAGAGTAGCTTCCCTTTGACAAAGAGCAGTTACTTTAACGGGCAGATCGATGGATTGCCGCGAAATGCAAGTAAAAACAATTGTTTGGCATATATGTTGTTTCGCCGCTGCATAAGAAACAGATTTCAGTTGGAACTATATTGGCTACTGTCACTGTCCGACTGACACATCACTTACCCTGTGACGTAATAAATATTAATGCGCGCATTCCAGGAAAACTCGCAATGTTTCGGTAATGTTTGTGAGAGAGGGAGAGCGATTTCCAAGCACAGAAGTAAAGAATGCCATTATATGATAAAGAGGTTATCACGCTTGTGTGTTTGGGGATGGTAAATATCCTGCATTAGGAATAAAGACTATGTATTTAGCTCGCCAAGGCTCGAACAAATACAATGTTGTTTCCTAATGCAGGATATTTACCACCCCCAAACACACTCGCGTGATAACCTCTATGTATCATTAGTTGATGACAGTTTAATGATAGATTCGTACAACCCATTTAATGCCGTCATAATAAAAGATTAAGAATGCAATGCGCCAGTACCTATCAGTTAATGAAGGTTTGATACGACCGGGCCCTGGTCATTATGATCACTTCAAGTAACTCATTAAACCTGACAAGATCTAATGATGACTGAAACACTGGAAATGTCCTCCACAGGTCTACCACAAAACCTATTGAAATCTTTACTGAGGCCTTGAATGCTGTAACCTTGATGAAACAACTTCAGAGCACGAGTCCTATGACGCTCTCTGAAATCTTGGTAGAAAGAGCATGCTCTATGGTACGTTTAAGAGTTGCGAAATGTAGACACCAAGGGCTGGAGCTGCAGGAATATTGCTCGACATAAAGGGAAAGTGGACGATTGGAAAGTTGAAGTCAGCATTCTTGGAATTCAGTCTTGTGGGGAGTGTTTTGTCACTCTGAATCTTTATGCATAGATCTAAATATGAAACAGATGAGGCGGTCTCACTGGTCTCCTTTATTTCTACTTCAGGTGGGTAAATCAGTGCAAGGAAATTGGCTATTTGATGATTATTAACAAACGATATCAGATAATCGATATTCCTGAAGTTTAAGTTAAACTTCCTGGTCAAATGACGTTGCTTTGAGTTTGCCAATCCGAGCAGAAATTCCGATTCATACCCATAAAGAAACAGGGGATGGGGATGCCTACTTCTTGCCAAAATATCTCACCCCATATTTTACATACAGGTTATCAATGATGACGTCCAGCATTTCACATAGTTTTCTCATCAAACTTCAGATGGCATTGGCTTTAATTTTTGACAAATTGCCCTGAAGATAGATGTAACTTTATCTGTGGCCACGAGGTTTTGTAACAAAAGACCCATGGATAAAGCAATTACGTTTTCCCTTAAGTTTGTTATGTGGGTTAGCGGTGTACTAAACAGACAAATCAAATGTTTAGACAGAATTGAACTTGGTTCATGGTTTGAGACCGGGATTTGGTGGTACGTTTGCTGGACGTTCATTACCATACGTTCTTGCCTTTATCTTGTAAATGGTAAAAACGATGGGTCGTGACAACGCTGCTGCTGATGCTGGCGTTGGTGGTGCTGGTGCTGGTGCTGGTGCTGGTGAACAGTTAACTAAATGCCAAACGAAAGGGAAAATTATTTCCGAACCACAAAGAAAACCAGTGGCTACGGGCGATGGCCATGTAATCAACAGTGATGATTACAAGGAAGAGGATGGTGGTGGTGGTAACGGTAAAATGTGTTCCAGACCCTCAAGTTGTTCGTGTGCTCCTTCTGTGAATATCCCCTGTATATTGTAAGGTAACCTGAACTCCCTGTTGTAATATGGACGTCGTTCACGCCTCCACCTTCGGTGTTGCTACAAGGAGAGTGCCTGGTGTGTGTTCCTGGTGCCCCTCAAGACGGACACACTGTCCCCGACCTGCACCCGCCCGCCCTTCTCCAGGGCGCAGTACACCCCGAACACTGGGGCGCTGCCGTAAGGGGGGATGCAGCGGTATCTGGAATGTCATAGAGTTTTCAATACAATAGGATGTTCATAGATATTGAGATAAATAATCAGATGACGGTTTCTAGAGATAAAAAGAGAACATTAAATTTTAAGGCATGTGTTTAGAAAATGACTTCGGATTCTAAAGATAGTATTTGATAAGGAAGGAGGCAATGAATTAAGTAGTAGTGTCATATAATTATGTAGACACAATTATTTGTGTGGGATGTTTGTAAGAACACACAATCACCTAACCACCACACCTCCCACCCCCATCGTATTCCGAAATAACAAAATCCTAACAGAAACTTGGACATTTCCCGTGTGTTTGTTATCATTAACACCAATGCATCTGAGACATGGGGGGGGGGGGGGGGACAGGGTATTAGTATTTAAATGGATCCATAGTGCTGCAAGACGCTAAACAGAACAACGTTCTTACGAGTTTTACAAGGCGAGATAAATTGCCCACTTCTAGGTGACAGCTCGTTTATTCATCCCAGGTTGGTGCATGCATAGAGCTTTGCCGAGCTCATTTGAAGAAACTGATGCCTACAGAGCTACTTCCTTCTCATAATTGAGCGGGACACCACACATCATTTGACATGGAACACTCTCAAAGATGTCAGGGAAAAATGCTCTAAAAATGTTTTCGATCTCGTTATTCCAATGCCTCCATTATACGTTTTATACATACGTTTTCAGTTTTGTTAGAGGCTGTCTGTCTGAATCTCTTATCCCTGTTGCGGGGTCAACGGTAGTGATCGGACACCTGGAGAGTAAGTCAAACTGAAATCAGCATTCAGTTTGTGAGTCGCAAATGTTATCCATATTATTGCCTCTATCTCACCTCCGGCAACGTCAGCCACACTCATATTGACACTGTCTCCTATCTCACCTCAGGCAACGTCAGCCACAATCATATTGACACTGTCTCCTATCTCACCTCCGACACACGTCAGCCACAATCATATTGACACTGTCTCCTATCTCACCTCCGGCAACGTCAGCCACAATCATATTGACACTGTCTCCTATCTCACCTCCGGCACACGTCAGCCACAATCATATTGACACTGTCTCCTATCTCACCTCCGGCAACGTCAGCCACAATCATATTGACACTGTCTCCTATCTCACCTCCGGCAACGTCAGCCACAATCATATTGACACTGTCTCCTATCTCACCTCCGACACACGTCAGCCACAATCATATTGACACTGTCTCCTTATCTCACCTCCGACACACGTCAGTCACCCGCATCATAACAATGTCTCCTTATCTCATCCCCGACACACGTCAGCCACCCTCACCATAACACTGTCTCCTATCTCACCTCCGACACACGTCAGTCACCCTCACCATAACACTGTCTCCTTATTTCACCCCCAACACACGTCAGCCACCCTCACAATAACACTGTCTCCTATTTCACCTCCAACACACGTCAGCCACCCTCACCATAACACTGTCTCCTATCTCACCTCCGACACACGTCAGCCACCCTCACCATGACACTGTCTCCTTATCTCACCTCTGACACACGTCAGTCACCCTCACCATAACACTGTCTCCTATCTCACCTCCGACACACGTCAGCCACCCTCACCATGACACTGTCTCCTTATCTCACCTCCGACATACGTCAGTCACCCTCACCATGACACTGTCTCCTATCTCACCTCCGACACACGTCAGCCACCCTCACCATGACACTGTCTCCTTATCTCACCTCCGACACACGTCAGCCACCCTCACCATAACACTGTCTCCTTATCTCACCTCCGACACACGTCAGCCACCCGCATCATAACACTGTCTCCAATCTTGATCTCCAGCCATTTGTCCTGTAAAAGACCACAGTGAGACACATGAGTGGATCATCACACGGGAGTCGTATTACTTAACAACGACGGGCTGACGGTGGTACACCGAGGACCACATGACGTCCTTACTTTGACACAGACTTAAGACAATCGTAGCGCGAGGTCATGGGTTAGACCACATCCAAAAAATGTCTTTGTGTGTGTGTGTGTGTGTGTGTGTGTGTGTGTGTGTGTGTGTGTGTGCGTGCGCGCGTGTTGTCGTGCGTGTTGTCGTGCGTGTTCTCATGTGCGTTAGTTAGTGCGTGCGTGTGGGTGGGTGGGGGTTAAGAATAACGTGATTCAGACATATAAGCAAATAAGCAAATGTTACATACAAAATCGTCCGAATTACTTCTGTCTCTCATCATCAGTAAATAAAGCCAGACATAATTTATGACCACATTAACATTATACATAGCAGTTATTAAGTCGTACGTTGTAGCGAAGATATTTAATAGGTAATACAAGGTGTAATGTAATGTGGTAATACACGGTGTAATGTAATGTGGTAATACACGGTGTAATGTAATGTGGTAATACATGATGTAATGTAATGTGGTAATATAGGGTGTAATGTAATGTGATAATACACAGTGTAATGTTATGTGGTAATACACAGTGTAATGTAATGTGGTATTACAGGATGTAATGTAATGTGGTTATACAAGGTGTACTGTAATGTGGTAATACACGGTGTAATGTAATGTGGTAATACACGGTGTAATGTAATGTGGTAATACACAGTGTAATGTAATGTGGTAATACAGGATGTAATGTGGTAATACACTGTGTAATGTAATGTGGTAATACACAGTGTAATTTAATGTGGTAATACAGGATGTTATGTAATGTGGTAATACACAGTGCAATGTAATGTGGTAATACACAGTTTAATGTAATGTGGTAATACACAGTGTAATGTAATGTGGTAATACACGGTGTAATGTAATGTGGTAATACACGGTGTAATGTAATGTGGTAATACATGGTGTCATGTAATGTGGTAATACACAGTGTAATGTAATGTGGTAATACACAGTGTAATGTTATGTGGTAATACACGGTGAAATGTAATGTGGTAATACAAGGTGTAATGTAATGTGGTAATACAAGGTGTAATGTAATGTGGTAATATAGGGTGTAATGTAATGTGATAATACACAGTGTAATGTTATGTGGTAATACACAGTGTAATGTAATGTGGTATTACAGGATGTAATGTAATGTGATTATACACGGTGTACTGTAATGTGGTAATACACAGTGTAATTTAATGTGGTAATACACAGTGTAATGTAATGTGGTAATACACTGTGTAATGTAATGTGGTAATACACGGTGTAATGTAATGTGGTAATACACGGTGTACTGTAATGTGGTAATACAGGATGTTATGTAATCTGGTAATACACAGTGTAATGTAATGTGGTAATACACTGTGTAATGTAATATGGTAATACTGGATGTAATATAATGTGGTAATACACGGTGTAATGTAATGTGGTAATACACAGTGTAATATAATGTGGTAATACACAGTGTAATGTAATGTGGTAATACACGGTGTAATGTAATGTGGTAATACACAGTGTAATGTAATGTGGTAATACACGGTGTAATGTAATGTGGTAATACACGGTGTAATGTAATGTGGTAATACACGGTGAAATGTAAGTGGTAATACACGGTGTTATGTAATGTGTTAATACACAGTGTAATGTAATGTGGTAATACACAGTGTAATGTAATGTGGTAATACACGGTGTAATGTAATGTGGTAATACACAGTGTAATGTAATGTGGTAATACACGGTGTAATGTAATGTGGTAATACACGGTGTAATGTAATGTGGTAATACACGGTGTAATGTAAGTGGTAATACACGGTGTTATGTAATGTGTTAATACACAGTGTAATGTAATGTGGTAATACACAGTGTAATGTAATGTGGTAATACAGGATGTAACGTAATGTGGTAATACACAGTGTAAAGTAATGTGGTAATACACAGTGTAATGTAATGTGGTAATACACAGTGTAATGTAATGTGGTAATACACGGTGTAATTTAATGTGGTAATACACGGTGCAATGTAATGTGGTAATACACTGTGTAATATAATTGTGGTAATACACAGTGTAATGTAATTTGGTAATACACAGTGTAATGTAATGTGGTAATACACAGTGTAATGTAATGTGGTAATACACGGTGTAATGTAATGTGGTAATACACAGTGTAATGTAATGTGGTAATACACGGTGTAATTTAATGTGGTAATAAACGGTGTAATGTAATGTGGTAATACACTGTGTAATATAATGTGGTAATACACGGTGTAATGTAACTTGGTAATACACAGTGTAATGTAATGTGGTAATACACAGTGTAATGTAATGTGGTAATACACGGTGTAATGTAATGTGGTAATACACGGTGTAATGTAATGTGGTAATACACGGTGTAATGTAATGTGGTAATACACGGTGTAATGTAATGTGGTAATACATGGTGTCATGTAATGTGGTAATACACAGTGTAATGTAATGTGGTAATACACGGTGTAATGTAATGTGGTTATAGACGATGAAATGTGGTTATACACGATGTCATGTGGTTATACACGGTGTAAAGTTATGTGGTAATACACGATGGTAATATGGCAATACAACTCATGAAAGGGTGTATGTGAAGGAATTAAAACGTTCAGAAGGAGGTGTCAGGTATATTTTGAGGGCATTAAGCTTTCTTAGTATGTTGCTCTGACCTCATCAAACGGCGGTGTTCCTTCGATGGCGATATTGGGCCTAAAGTTGAGCATGGAGACGGGGGAGTCGAGACGCTGGTTCAGATCATGGAGGGAACTGGCTGACGTCATCATGTATGACGTCAAGTAGTTGAAAGCTGTCTGAACATCAAATTGAGTCAAGTCATGAAGCAAAACAAATGGCTTACTTTTGAATTTCAAAGGAAGCTCTAATATACATATAAACACGAACAGCGCGATGATGCCGGTTTACGATTTACTATTAAGCTCCAACTAATATTTCTGGCATTGATTTTTAGTGACCTTTGCATTTTGCAATGTGGATTCAGCAACTGTTCACGTTTTCCAACCATTTGTGCTCTCGTGTATGTACTAAACATGACTCAGGTCATCCTCGATTATCCAGTGTATCATATCCCCATTCCAATATACACCCTGGTGTTGACACATTCATTTTTTCAATGGTATCAGTATGTATGTAATACCCTTCATGTTTTATCATGGCATACATTGTTCACTGATGTCATGAAATGATTAATAATATCAATTATCATTACCCTACTACAATGAATAATGATACCGGTAGTAAATTACTGATGTCATTAAAACAGCTGATGGTTCAGACTCTGTAGATAGAAATACTGGACTGATAGCAATAAGCGAAATACTGTCAGCAGTAAATAACGGATATCATGAAAACGAAGTAATTGGTGAAATTAGTATTTCGAATTCCGATATCAGATCTACTCATTTTATGACTAAATATGGTTTATAGGCAATTTGATGATTCATGATTGACTACTGATTGACTTACTGAATTGCGGATAGTATCAATTGGATTATTGATATCATGAAATCAAAGCTGGGTGAAAGGACCTCCCAAAATATATACAGACTGATGGTGAGCTCTACTGTCTTGACAAGGCAACCTCAATAAAACAGTGAAACATTGACGCAAAGAATGAACACTGTGCCAAGAGTGAAACACAGAGTGAAAGAGTGAATTAATTACATCACATCAGAGACCATATAATAGATATTATTATCTATGATATGGTCTCTGATCACATCATTTACATAACAATAATATATCCGAACTGTTGAATGTGATGTCTAGCCTGTCAGGTACACTTTAAACCAATGATTGTCAACATTAAAAGCAATATAAAAATAATCACAGATGATGATGATACAGCCACGGAAGTTAATACTTGGCTGTGTCTATGACGTACAACGGTTTTCAGCATTTCAGGAAAGTTAACTACCCATATTTCTTTCCTAGTCACGGAAGCGTACGTAAACATATATATGTGTATATGTATATGTATATGTATATGCCAAGTTTCATCTTTGTAATATGTCTCATCAAAGTATGTTAACAGTGTTTGGACAAATAAGGTTTCTCATGGTGACGTTTCTTTTGCGGTTCAGTATATATTGAAATAATAATGGCTTATTGCAATAACCTAAATTGACGAGCAAAAGAAACGTTACCAACCAACATTGTAAACATACTTTGAGACAAATTAAAAAGATGAAACTTGGCAAAACTGATCATCAAGGTTGAAATTAAAGTGTCAAATAATCTTAAAGTGAAACACAACACTAGTCTCTGAGAAAATGGCATCACAAGTCAGTATCTCGTGTGTTGGCCATGTGCATTGATAACTGCCGTGCAACGTCGATACATGGAATGGATGAGGCGGTAAATGATGGCCATAGGCACTTGAGCCCACACTCAGTTCAGCTGCAGTTGTCGGTCTTGGTCGGACGTCATTCAGCTGTCTTTGAATCTCGTCCCATAGGTGCTCAATGGGATTTCAATCGAGACTGAGGACAGGCCACTGCATGGTTCTGATGCCATTCTGCTGTCCTCTCTCTGGACCGATGTTCTGGAAGACCACTGGGCCGACCCTCTGTGCAAGACCAATTCCACCCCACATCATGATGCTCGGACCACCCCACGAGTCTCTCTCAACAACACATCCGAATAACGTTCCCCACGGCGTCACCAGACTCTCTCTCTCTCTCTCTCTCTCTGCCATCTGCTGTTGAGTTACAGTAACGGCTCTCGTCTGAGAAGAGGACTCTTCTCCACTGCTGGTGGCGCCAATGCTGGTGCTGTGTTGCCCACTGAAGACGGTCCCGGCGATGACGTGGTGTCAGTGGAGGTGTCTGCACGTCAATCGTCTTCACTAATGTGTCGCTGGTGTGTCTCCATGGTCTGTCGAGCAGTTTCCGCAGCAGTAACAAAGCGATCTTGAAGATGATGTCGCACAATCTGACGATCCTGACGATCGCTGATTTCTTGTCAAGCTTGGCATGTGGTAGCAATTCAATAACGAATGTAATGTTATCCGATCTGGGTGGATTTTTATAGGGCAAGAAATGGGGGAACGCCTGTGCATTTCAATTTCCTCGGACCTCACGTGTATCGGGTTACCATGGCCATTGCCGTGATGCGTTTTGGCGATCGGATTTATTGTCATTTGCTTTGTTTTTTTATCATCAAATTTAATTTTTCCTGACAAGGGACTTTGACAAAAATTGCCCAGATATTTAAATAACAACTTTTCATGCAATGTTACTTGGGGTGACGTTTCTTTTGCGGTTCAGTATATCTTACTCTTATCATTGTTGCGAAATGTCTCATATAAATGGTGGAAATCAAGGCGTCTTTATAATTATGCTTGATGCTTTTCCATATATACAGCATATTTGTCGCTAAACCAAAATATAAAAAAACGTTGAACATATTGACAATACAGATATTACCAATTCAATTACCCAATAAAAGCCCCATATTCCAAACTTTTCCTCGCAAAAGTCTAAAAGTTATATCTGGCTGTCTATCAATATACACGTCACGTACTATTACACGACTAGTTAGTATTTTGTACAACATTGCAGTTAGCATTTGACCGATTATGGATGCATTTTAACATTTTCTGCCGAAAACCGTAAAATTTCATAAGGGAACAGATTAAAATTTCTTATAAGTGTTTTTACAACTAAATTCGCATAAATTCAGGAAATATTACATTTCGATGCAGAAATACCGTAGCTATACACAAAGTCCGTAGTCAATACGTTCTGTTATTTCAATGAAGCACAATCAATTTTCTTAATCATGAAAAGTAGTGACAACTGGGATGAAGATAGAGACACGGCCAAGACAAATGTGTTATCTTCCAGTACAGTTGGACTATGTCGAGTTATGTCCCTTCTACCGATTCCCTCCCCGATGTCACTTGTATTTACATCAAACAAAACTGCGACGCCCAGTCAGCTACATGTATTGGGGTGTTATCAAGTTTCCATATCCCCACACGGACTATATTGGTCTAGAAGAACACCTTGTCAGCTACATGTATTGGGGTGTTATCAAGTTTCCATATCCCCACACGGACTATATTGGTCTAGAAGAACACCTTGTCAGCTACATGTATTGGGGTGTTATCAAGTTACCACATCCCCACACGGACTATATTGGTCTAGAAGAACACCTTGTCAGCTACATGTATTGGGGTGTTATCAAGTTACCATATCCCCACATGGACTATATTGGTCTGGAAGAACACCTTGTCAGCTACATGTATTGGGGTGTTATCAAGTTACCATATCCCCACACGGACTATATTGGTCTAGAAGAACACCTTGTCAGCTACAAGTATTGGGGTGTTATCAAGTTACCATATCCCCACACGGACTATATTGGTCTAGAAGAACACCTTGTCAGCTACATGTATTGGGGTGTTATCAAGTTACCATATCCCCACACGGACTAAAATGGTCTAGAAGAACACCTTGTCAGCTACAAGTATTGGGGTGTTATCAAGTTACCATATCCCCACACGGACTATATTGGTCTGGAAGAACACCTTGTCAGCTACATGTATTGGGGTGTTATCAAGTTTCCATATCCCCACACGGACTATATTGGTCTAGAAGAACACCTTGTCAGCTACATGTATTGGGGTGTTATCAAGTTACCATATCCCCACACGGACTATATTGGTCTGGAAGAACACCTTGTCAGCTACAAGTATTGGGGTGTTATCAAGTTACCATATCCCCACACGGACTATATTGGTCTAGAAGAACACCTTGTCCGCTACAAGTATTGGGGTGTTATCAAGTTACCATATCCCCACACGGACTATATTGGTCTAGAGTACACCTTGTCAGCTACATGTATTGGGGTGTTATCAAGTTACCATATCCCCACACGGACTATATTGGTCTAGAAGAACACCTTGTCAGCTACATGTATTGGGGTGTTATCAAGTTACCATATCCCCACACGGACTATATTGGTCTGGAAGAACACCTTGTCAGCTACAAGTATTGGGGTGTTATCAAGTTACCATATCCCCACACGGACTATATTGGTCCAGAAGAACACCTTGTCAGCTACAAGTATTGGGGTGTTATCAAGTTACCATATCCCCACACGGACTATATTGGTCTAGAAGAACACCTTGTCAGCTACATGTATTGGGGTGTTATCAAGTTACCATATCCCCACACGGACTATATTGGTCCAGGAGAACACGTCGTTAGGTACACGTTCTAGAGTGTTGCCAAGTTACTATATCTCCTTACGGACTATATTGGTCTGGAAGAACACCTTGTCAGCTACAAGTATTGGGGTGTTATCAAGTTACCATATCCCCACACGGACTATATTGGTCTAAAAGAACACCTTGTCAGCTACATGTATTGGGGTGTTATCAAGTTACCATATCCCCACACGGACTATATTGGTCCAGGAGAACACGTCGTTAGGTACACGTTCTAGAGTGTTGCCAAGTTACTATATCTCCTTACGGACTATATTGGTCTAGAAGAACACCTTGTCAGCTACAAGTATTGGGGTGTTATCAAGTTACCATATCCCCACACGGACTATATTGGTCTAGAAGAACACCTTGTCAGCTACAAGTATTGGGGTGTTATCAAGTTACCATATCCCCACACGGACTATATTGGTCTGGAAGAACAGCTTGTCAGCTACAAGTATTGGGGTGTTATCAAGTTACCATATCCCCACACGGACTATATTGGTCTAGAAGAACACCTTGTCCGCTACAAGTATTGGGGTGTTATCAAGTTACCATATCCCCACACGGACTATATTGGTCTGGAAGAACACCTTGTCAGCTACATGTATTGGGGTGTTATCAAGTTACCATATCCCCACACAGACTATATTGGTCCAGGAGAACACGTCGTTAGGTACACGTTCTAGAGTGTTGCCAAGTTACTATATCTCCTTACGGACTATATTGGTCTGGAAGAACACCTTGTCAGCTACAAGTATTGGGGGGTTATCAAGTTACCATATCCCCACACGGACTATATTGGTCTAGAAGAACACCTTGTCAGCTACAAGTATTGGGGTGTTATCAAGTTACCATATCCCCACACGGACTATATTGGTCTAGAAGAACACCTTGTCAGCTACATGTATTGGGGTGTTATCAAGTTACCATAACCCCACACGGACTATATTGGTCCAGGAGAACACGTCGTTAGGTACACGTTCTAGAGTGTTGCCAAGTTACTATATCTCCTTACGGACTATATTGGTCTGGAAGAACACCTTGTCAGCTACAAGTATTGGGGTGTTATCAAGTTACCATATCCCCACACGGACTATATTGGTCTAGAAGAACACCTTGTCAGCTACATGTATTGGGGTGTTATCAAGTTACCATATCCCCACACGGACTATATTGGTCTAGAAGAACACCTTGTCCGCTACAAGTATTGGGGTGTTATCAAGTTACCATATCCCCACACGGACTATATTGGTCTGGAAGAACACCTTGTCAGCTACATGTATTGGGGTGTTATCAAGTTACCATATCCCCACACGGACTATATTGGTCCAGGAGAACACGTCGTTGGGTACACGTTCTAGAGTGTTGCCAAGTTACTATATCTCCTTACGGACTATATTGGTCTAGAAGAACACCTTGTCCGCTACAAGTATTGGGGTGTTATCAAGTTACCATATCCCCACACGGACTATATTGGTCTGGAAGAACACCTTGTCAGCTACATGTATTGGGGTGTTATCAAGTTACCATATCCCCACACGGACTATATTGGTCCAGGAGAACACGTCGTTAGGTACACGTTCTAGAGTGTTGCCAAGTTACTATATCTCCTTACGGACTATATTGGTCTAGAAGAACACCTTGTCCGCTACAAGTATTGGGGTGTTATCAAGTTACCATATCCCCACACGGACTATATTGGTCTGGAAGAACACCTTGTCAGCTACATGTATTGGGGTGTTATCAAGTTACCATATCCCCACACGGACTATATTGGTCCAGGAGAACACGTCGTTAGGTACACGTTCTAGAGTGTTGCCAAGTTACTATATCTCCTTACGGACTATATTGGTCTAGAAGAACACCTTGTCCGCTAAAAGTATTGGGGTGTTATCAAGTTACCATATCCCCACACGGACTATATTGGTCTGGAAGAACACCTTGTCAGCTACATGTATTGGGGTGTTATCAAGTTACCATATCCCCACACGGACTATATTGGTCCAGGAGAACACGTCGTTGGGTACACGTTCTAGAGTGTTGCCAAGTTACTATATCTCCTTACGGACTATATTGGTCTAGAAGAACACCTTGTCCGCTACAAGTATTGGGGTGTTATCAAGTTACCATATCCCCACACGGGCTATATTGGTCTGGAAGAACACCTTGTCAGCTACATGTATTGGGGTGTTATCAAGTTACCATATCCCCACACGGACTATATTGGTCCAGGAGAACACGTCGTTAGGTACACGTTCTAGAGTGTTGCCAAGTTACTATATCTCCTTACGGACTATATTGGTCTAGAAGAACACCTTGTCCGCTACAAGTATTGGGGGGTTATCAAGTTACCATATCCCCACACGGACTATATTGGTCTGGAAAAACACCTTGTCAGCTACATGTATTGGGGTGTTATCAAGTTACCATATCCCCACACGGACTATATTGGTCCAGGAGAACACGTCGTTAGGTACACGTTCTAGAGTGTTGCCAAGTTACTATATCTCCTTACGGACTATATTGTTCTAGAAGAACACCTTGTCCGCTAAAAGTATTGGGGTGTTATCAAGTTACCATATCCCCACACGGACTGTATTGGTCTGGAAGAACACCTTGTCAGCTACATGTATTGGGGTGTTATCAAGTTACCATATCCCCACACGGACTATATTGGTCCAGGAGAACACGTCGTTAGGTACACGTTCTAGAGTGTTGCCAAGTTACTATATCTCCTTACGGACTATATTGGTCTAGAAGAACACCTTGTCCGCTACAAGTATTGGGGTGTTATCAAGTTACCATATCCCCACACGGACTATATTGGTCTGGAAGAACACCTTGTCAGCTACATGTATTGGGGTGTTATCAAGTTACCATATCCCCACACGGACTATATTGGTCCAGGAGAACACGTCGTTAGGTACACGTTCTAGAGTGTTGCCAAGTTACTATATCTCCTTACGGACTATATTGGTCTAGAAGAACACCTTGTCAGCTACAAGTATTGGGGTGTTATCAAGTTACCATATCCCCACACGGACTATATTGGTCTGGAAGAACACCTTGTCAGCTACATGTATTGGGGTGTTATCAAGTTACCATATCCCCACACGGACTATATTGGTCTGGAAGAACACCTTGTCAGCTACATGTATTGGGGTGTTATCAAGTTACCATATCCCCACACGGACTATATTGGTCCAGGAGAACACGTCGTTAGGTACACGTTCTAGAGTGTTGCCAAGTTACTATATCTCCTTACGGACTATATTGGTCTAGAAGAACACCTTGTCCGCTACAAGTATTGGGGTGTTATCAAGTTACCATATCCCCACACGGACTATATTGGTCTGGAAGAACACCTTGTCAGCTACATGTATTGGGGTGTTATCAAGTTACCATATCCCCACACGGACTATATTGGTCCAGGAGAACACGTCGTTAGGTACACGTTCTAGAGTGTTGCCAAGTTACTATATCTCCTTACGGACTATATTGGTCTAGAAGAACACCTTGTCCGCTACAAGTATTGGGGTGTTATCAAGTTACCATATCCCCACACGGACTATATTGGCCTAGAAGAACACCTTGTCCGCTACAAGTATTGGGGTGTTATCAAGTTACCATATCCCCACACGGACTATATTGGTCTAGAAGAACACCTTGTCAGCTACAAGTATTGGGGTGTTATCAAGTTACCATATCCCCACACGGACTTTATTGGTCCAGGAGAACACGTCGTTAGGTACACGTTCTAGAGTGTTGCCAAGTTACTATATCTCCTTACGGACTATATTGGTCTAGAAGAACACCTTGTCCGCTACAAGTATTGGGGTGTTATCAAGTTACCATATCCCCACACGGACTATATTGGTCTGGAAGAACACCTTGTCAGCTACATGTATTGGGGTGTTATCAAGTTACCATATCCCCACACGGACTATATTGGTCCAGGAGAACACGTCGTTAGGTACACGTTCTAGAGTGTTGCCAAGTTACTATATCTCCTTACGGACTATATTGGTCTAGAAGAACACCTTGTCCGCTACAAGTATTGGGGTGTTATCAAGTTACCATATCCCCACACGGACTATATTGGTCTAGAAGAACACCTTTTCTGCTACAAGTATTGGGGTGTTATCAAGTTACCATATCCCCACACGGACTATATTGGTCTAGAAGAACACCTTTTCCGCTACAAGTATTGGGGTGTTATCAAGTTACCATATCCCCACACGGACTATATTGGTCTAGAGTACACCTTGTCAGCTGCATGTTTTATCGCCTTACCATATCTCCCTCGCGAGTGTTATTGTTCCAGGAGAACATCTTGTCTGCGGCGTCTCTCTTGGTTAGGTGTTCTGGGGAATGCACAAGACGCAGGTTGTCGTAGCCGAGGAAGGTGTTGAGCCAGGAGGCAGCCTCATCCCCGCAGTCGATGACGTCCATGTTGACACCATAGATTCTGGAGGAGAGGAAATCTGGACATATTAATGAACAAGCAAGGAGTCGAATGACCTTCCCGGTTGGCTGTCTTTCGCTGTCTGTCCCTTGTGTAGGTCACTTACCTGTGTCATAGTTCTAAAATCACTATATTTAACACATAGTTATAGAGTTCATATGTCAATATTTTATCTTACTAGCGATAACTATATTTTTCTGTAGATAAAGTTAGTCAGTTGCTGTCCACGAAACTGACCGTCTCAAACCAGTGACTCTGGATTACCTAACTCGGTCAAGCTGGCACAGCTAGGATAATGCAGATTTAGATTACAGTTTCAATATTAGGTAACCAACACATTCTACAGAAGGCCTGAATCCCTACTTAGTCCAGTGGCAGGTACTTCACTCTGCCACTAATAAAGACTTCAGGGACTCAGCAGCCTTCTCTCTGTTTTAAGGTGATAGCTGAGCAATCAGCTGTACCAAGTTAATTCCCCCACTATCTTGGTCATTGTGACGTAGCATACAGGACCACGCCCAGACAAGCCAAAACGGTTTTAAGACGACCTACGTCACCTGCATGAAATGATGTTTGTAAAGTCGGCCGTGTGAAGCATGAGGCTAGGCATGTCGGGAGCGTCGAGACGCAGATCCCCGCCACCTAGTGGAGTGGTTGAGATGAGTGTCATCCGGGTCTCCGTCTTCATGTTGAGCATGTACCGACCTTTGATCACCATCAAGTGTCTGCAGATAAGAACTGGTCCATGTTAGAACAAAAACAAAACAACATTGATTTTTTTCACGGAATAAATAATTTTGATAGTTAGGCGTCTGATCTATTGCTTGGTATATTACATACGACACCTATACATCGATCGTATGTATATCATTTAATTCATACCTTCTGAATGCCTGTAGTTAGCGAGGCACCGATATGTTCTTTATATGTCACGTATAATGACACCCCCGAGAAATATGTCTTACATCAGCGAAACGAATTTCGTTAAAATTTAAGCACTATACCAACAAATTAAAAGTTTTCACCAGACTACTATATAATGTGAACCTTGAAAGTGTTGGAAGCAGGAAGTGATGTAAAAACTGCCTTACAGTAATTATTACAGTCAAATCATTCATTTGGCAAAACTACTAAAATATGTGGGCATTTTATCAACTGACTGAAATATGGCATGATCAACTACATAAAAGTTTATATTCCCAACATTTTTTTCTGCATATTTTGCTTTTCACTTATCACAAACAACAGGCATCTGTGGAAGCTGCTGTTGCACAGAACATTGCTCTGTCGGTATCTGCACCTTTATTCACAGCGCTGTAGTTACACAGCATATGTCCTTGACCACCTTGGCCACCTGTTTAGGATTCACACCTGACACAAGGCACATCAATGTCTTCAAGAGACATGGGTTTATCAGGACACAGGGACACATCAATGTCTTCAAGAGACACAGGTTTATCAGGACATAAGGACACATCAATGTCTTCAAGAGACACAGGTTTATCAGGACACAAGGACACATCAATGTCTTCAAGAGACACAGGTTTATCAGGACACAAGGACACATCAATGTCTTCAAGAGACACAGGTTTATCAGGACATAAGGACACATCAATGTCTTCAAGAGACACAGGTTTATCAGGACACAAGGACACATCAATGTCTTCAAGAGACACAGGTTTATCAGGACACAAGGACACATCAATGTCTTCAAGAGACACAGGTTTATCAGGACATAAGGACACATCAATGTCTTCAAGAGACACAGGTTTATCAGGACACAAGGACACATCAATGTCTTCAAGAGACACAGTTTTATCAGGACACAAGGACACATCAATGTCTTCAAGAGACACAGGTTTATCAGGACACAGGGACACATCAATGTCTTCAAGAGACACAGGTTTATCAGGACACAAGGACACATCAATGTCTTCAAGAGACAGGTTTATCAGGACACAAGGCAAACTAATTTCGTGCCGTTCAATTGTGTACTGTTCAATATCCTGTATATCCAGCATTAATCCTGGGATATTCCTGGGATCACCAGGTATCGACAGCTGGATGCGGACACTGTGCATTATCTCCCTTTATACCTGCTTTCATTACGATTCTTCTTTTGTCTGATCTCTCAGCCTGTTGGAACTTAGTTTTGTTTCCATGTTGAAACTCCATTGTGATAATAGTTTTCGGATAACTTGCAGCTTCCATGACGTCATCATCATCGCCCTGACATAGACTGTCTGTGTCCTGACTGTTTTGGGTTCATTTATAACAGAAGCATATAAATTCTTATAAGTTATTCCTTTGCAGAATTTGTGGGGCTGCAATTAAAACAACATGTCAATAAACTGTAGGTCACCGCTGTTGTGCGCTTAGAGGTCCTAAGATGATCTTGGTAGAAACATTGTGGTAAGGGCTGCATACCTTGCAAATCTATCTGAATACGTGAGTGAGGAAAACAAATTAGGATTTTACTCACAAGTGCTTGAGGAATGTACTTTTCAATTACTCGGATTGGTAATGGTAGACATCAAAAGCATAACTTGGATGATGTAATAGCATGATGCAAACTGACGAGCAAAAGTTACGTTACCAAACTGAAATTTGACACTTTGGGTCCAAACCTCGAAGAGTGTCAAACATGATTGAGAATCAATCGCCCAAACACAACCAAAACAATTTGCTGATTAACTCACGTGCTACAGTACCCAGATAAGTGGAAATTTATTTTGAAATGAAAACTTTACTGCACTCGCAGCATGCCAACCCACAAACCTACGGGTATACAAGGAACAATGTACCTTTCCTTCACACCAAACCGTTGGACAGTGACAAAGAACCTGTCAAAATGTTTAACGCTACAACAAGCCGTTGGTATAGATACGTCAAGAAGCAAAGCATGATCACGACGCAAGGAGTTTCGGCTGTAGCCGAATGACAGTCATCAGGCTCGTGGCCCGTGACAGGCAGACTTGGCAGACGGGAGACAGGCCTTGGAGTCGCAGACCTCCCGTCAACACCACCAAGGAAGGCCGCTACTTACGTATCCTCCATCTGTGGAATCGTTTTCTCACGGTGAGGTTACCAGCGGCGACTGGCATTGACCGTCCTGTCAGTCGCAGGGCAGTGTCTAGAAGGCTGCGTTGGTACAATACCAGAGATTACAGGCCACTGCGAGGCGTAACGCTGACACCAGAACACCGATGTCGAAAAGGTGGCGACATTATGTTTCGGGCGGCATCTGTGGCCAAGTCAAGACAGATCTGGTGATTTTGGAAAGAAACAGCTCTGGACTACGTTACACTGGCGGAGGTCTCCGCCCTGTTGTACAACAGTTCTTGCAACCGAACGGTCAGTATGATAACGCAAGGCCCCATACATGACATCTTGTAAAAGATTCAATGCAAACCAATAACGTGAAAGTCTTGCCTTGGCCAGCACCAGACTCATCACTTACAGAACCCTTGTGGGATCACATTTACCATCAGATTAGAACATGACCAGTTCTTTTTCAGGGATCAGTTAGTACAACCCCTTCAAGAAGAATGGCGTTGAATCCCTTTTCTTGTGTCTCACATCTTCTACCCGTCGTCGAGTTGAGGCGGGCTTTTATGACCGTGGTGAGCATACACAGTACTGACTGACAAATATGGCATTCTGAAGGTATAAAGGGAGTTTCATGTGTTGATTTTAGACCTGATTGTTGATCGATTTCTGACACCTGACCCCATCCTCTAAACTGTAGAGACAATACCTTCATCTTTGTTCTCACTCACGGCATAATTTGAAATGATGTTGTTAATTCATGTCTTTTGAGTGAGTGAGTGAGTGAGTGAGTGAGTAAGTGAGTGAGTTGGGTTTAACGCCGCTTTTATGAGTATTCCAGTTATATCGCGGCGTGTCAGCTTAATGTGGGAGGAAAGCCCGAAGTGATGCAGGTCTGAGACGTTTACCGCTTCGGTGAAACCCACGAGCATGGGAATGGTGCTGACCAACCTAGAAACATAATCGGGGCGAACCGGGATTCGAACCCACAATCATATGTTTTTATTTCCCAATGGACGCAACTCTGCACAGCGAATCGCGGCGCCTTAGACGACTGGGCCATCCGTGCCCTCCTTATGTCTTTTGACCATACAAGTATCTTCCTGTTCTGTGTTTAGGAACAAACAATGTTGGTTGGTAACGTTTCTTTTCCTCGTCAATTAAGGTTATTGCAATAAACCATTATTATTTCAATATATACAGAACCGCAAAAGAAACGTCACCATGAATAGATATATGAGAAACATTATTTGTCAAAACACTGTCAACATACTTTGGGATATATTTAAAAGGTGAAACTTGGCAAAACTGATCATCAAGGTTGAAATTAAAGTGTCAAATGATCTTAAAGTGAAACACAACACTAGTCTCTGAGAAAATGGCATCACAAGTCAATATCTCGCAGTGTTGGCACGGGCGTTATCATGCTCAAACTTGTGGTTGCAGCGACGTGGCAAATGAGGTATGGCGTGTGGTCTCAAGACTTGATCAATGTACCGAGCTGCTGTGACACCATTGCCTCTCCCTGGACCGATGTTCTGGAAGACCACTGGGCCGACCCTCTGTGCAAGACCAATTCCACCCCACATCATGATGCTCGATCCACCCCACGAGTCTCTCTCAACAACACAAGCGTCCGAATAACGTTCCCCACGGCGTCGCCAGACTCCCTCTCTGCCATCTGCTGTTGACATACAGTAACGGCTTTCGTCTGAGAAGAGGACTCTTCTCCACTGCTGGTGGCGCCAATGCTGGTGCTGTGTTGCCCACTGAAGACGGTCCCGGCGATGACGTGGTGTCAGAATGAGTCCTCGGCGTGGCTTGTGACAGTGCTCGTTAAATGTCGACGCACGGTGTCTGGACTAATGTGTCGCTGGTGTGTCTCCATGGTCTGTCGAGCAGTTTCCGCAGCAGTAAAAAAGCGATCTTGAAGATGATGTCGCACAATCTGACGATCCTCACGTCGGATGGTGACCCTTGGTCTTCCACTACGTGGTCGGTCATCTGTAATGTTGGTGGTCTGGTACCGTTGCTGGAGCCTGTATGTGGTCCTTTCGTGGACTTGAAATGCATTGGGAACTTGCCGGGCGGTTTGTCCAGCTTGCAATCGTCCAAGGGCTTGGTGTCGCTGATTTCTTGTCAAGCTTGGCATGTGGTAGCAATTCAATAACGAATGAATGTTATCCGATCTGGGTGGGTTTTTATAGGGCAAGAAATGGGGGAACGTCTGTGCATTTCAATTTCCTCGGAACTCACGTGCATCGGGTTACCATGGCCGTTGCCGTGATGCGTTTTGGTGATCGGTTTTATTGTCATCTGCTTTGTTTTTTTATCATCAAATTTAATTTTTCCTGACAGGGTAATGTTAATTTTAGAAACTTTGACAAAAATAACCCAGATATTTAAATAACAACATTTCATGCAATGTTACTTGGGGTGACGTTTCTTTTGCGGTTCAGTATATATCTATGCTGAAGTTTTTCCAAGTAAGGGTAACTTATGTTTAACAAAGTTGATAACCTTGTCCAAGGATACAACACAGTGACTTGCATGATATTGCGCTGGAAATGTTTAGATGGAGATTTATTGTAAGCAGATGAAGGCGGAGTTCTTTATTTAAGCAAAATTATGAGATGTTTTTTTGTTTTTTTCACTGTTGATTTTCTGTTGTTAATCAATTACAGGAAAGTTAACTTCGTATGGCATTAAGACATATTAACGGTGACATGTTGTACTATCACAGCGGCAGTAACATCACGTCCACACGAGAGGAACAAAATAGTTGGACAAAATGGGTTTCAGCAAATGGTTTGGATGTACAAATGACCCATGAAGACACACAGATACTGACCTACAAATGACCAATGAAGACACAAAGATATTGATATACAAATGACCAATGAAGACACAAAGATATTGATATACAAATGAACCATGAAAGCACAAAGATATATATCATAATCTCCCAACCGATATGCGAAACGTCCCAACATACCACTCAACTGCGTGTAATTAGAATACCGTATTCAGAAAACAGTATTCAGGAAGCAAGCAACTCTTGTGTCACTAACGGAATTTTCCACCACATTAACAATGTTGCACCTACTTGTGGAGTAGATTGGGATCATGCATATCCATATGTGCGGGGGTTGTGTGTACTTTTCTTGGTCGAATATCAAATTGAAAGCTTTTGTTATATACAGGTTATACTTTTACAGGTAGGTAGATATATACAAGAAGCACTATGTTCCAGAACAGCGTATAGTGGTAGTTAGTGTGCTGTTGGTGCCGCGGAGCACATATCCCAATCCAACTAGGCTAGGAATAACCCCTACCTCTTTCTCTCTCTTTAACATTGGACCAAGGATGGGGCTATCGAAAAACATAAATGTCCAAGTGAATGCTTAAAATATAACTATGATTAAAAATACATTGTTGCAGGGTGTTGCAAGACCCCTGTCTGATCGTCCCGCTCTCACGTGTAGTTATGTACAGCTCACCCTGTTTGACTGTCACCCTCTCACGTGTAGATATCGCACGCCCTGTTTGACTGTCACCCTCTCACGTGTAGATATCGCACGCCCTGTTTGACTGTCAATATCTCACGTGTAGATATCGCACGCCCTGTTTGACTGTCAATATCTCACGTGTAGATATCGCACGCCCTGTTTGACTGTCACCCTCTCACGTGTAGATATCGCACGCCCTGTTTGACTGTCAATATCTCACGTGTAGATATCGCACGCCCTGTTTGACTGTCACCCTCTCACGTGTAGATATCGCACGCCCTGTTTGACTGTCAATATCTCACGTGTAGATATCGCACGCCCTGTTTGACTGTCAATATCTCACGTGTAGATATCGCACGCCCTGTTTGACTGTCACCCTCTCACGTGTAGATATCGCACGCCCTGTTTGACTGTCAATATCTCACGTGTAGATATCGCACGCCCTGTTTGACTGTCAATATCTCACGTGTAGATATCGCACGCCCTGTTTGACTGTCACCCTCTCACGTGTAGATATCGCACGCCCTGTTTGACTGTCACCCTCTCACGTGTAGTTACCTTTCACCCTGTTTGAGTGTCATCTTAAACTGTCTGAGTGTCATATTTAAATATTATGTTACCTGTCCAAAAGTCCTCTGTAACTGAATCCAAGCCCAGTAGCTTCAGCTTCCTGGCATTCAATAGCTCCACAAGACTTGATGGGGAAGTTGTACAGAGCATGCACTCGGCCCACACATTCAAACATCTCACCCCTCTTCTTCCTCAGCCATCCAAGGGCAGTCAGCTTGATGGCCGAGACTATGACGAAGAAGGTAAAGAGTCCCAAAGGGGACTTATTAATGTCTATCGCGAACATGTGTCCCGTTTGATATCCAGGTGTATTGTGAAGGACGTGATATTGTACCGCCCTTATCTGCACACAGCGGTACGATGCAGTGTTGAGGCAATAAAGCAAGAGTATCTGCTTAGTACTTGATAGGAACAAGAGAAGGAGAGGTAGCCTTGTGGACATCCATACATCTGATGGAGTGACGATGCAAATCAACGACTGTGTATAATCGGACGTATGCCTGACGGTCATCCAAGTAGGGTCGTGCAGCTACACTCTATGTTACTCTGCTCACGTACACGGCAACGTGTGAGTAACAGATTTATATATTTACTTTTTAGGATGACTTGTGATCATTTGGATTCAGTCAATACAGTACAGAAGGCGCATGTATAATGTGATCACTTAAGCTCTTCGTGTAGGGGTGCACGTGTCGCCCAGTTCCTATTCGTGCCAGGAGCAGGTTGTTCCGAATTCTAGTTTAGTTTGTCAGCACAATGTACCCACACTTCTTGGTACTACATCGTTTGGGGTTTCTTGTGCATTACGTCTGTTCGCCGTGATATAACTGAAATAATGTTCAAAGCTGCGTTAAAGCAAAGCAAAAGTATATTTTTCAGGGAGCGTTTGTTCTTCTTCCGTCTGATCCTAAACGTTAATGAATCGCGTTAATCATAGAAACCTTTTCGTCATGTTTGTCACATTCCAACCCCGGTAAAAGTGTATTATGGAAATATATCCCACCTGTCACAAATGGATATGACTTGTAATTAATGGGGATTGGTATGCATGGCACGGCGGGGCACGGCGTGGCTTGCTGTACGAGGCATCGACAACTAACTATTGTAGGTCAAACCGAAACCCACACAAATGGGATATTTCACTGACGTAAGGTTTTGGTTTATTACAAAGCAGCATTAAAACCAAACTTATACACACAGTCCTTCTGCCGTCGTTTCGGCCCATGCAGTCCTAGCGAACGAAGCAATTAAATTAAAGCCGCTCTTTATAAACGGTCTCAAGTAAAACAATTCAGTTTGCTTTATGTAGATCGCCATCGTGTGATGTCCTGCAGGTACTGTGCTGGTTTGGTGAAGGTTTGGTATGTGATTTGTATAGGTCTAGGTCGTGCATAGATGTGACCATCTTCTCAGGTCTTGCAAAGATTAATTTCGGTGATGGCTTTATGTAGATTTGGTGCAAATCTTTGAGATGAGATCCAGTGTGGATGTTGTGTTGATCTTCTGTAGATTTGCGTGGAAGTAGAAATATATTGTCAATTACCGATATTTGTATTTATATTTATCATCACCGATTGACATACGTACCAAAACGCAAACTTACAGACTTACTTTACCTGATATTTCAAACTTGCAACAGAAAGGACAGCAAAGTTCTCCGTACTTGAATACTGTCTATGAATACCGAACTGCTTATTGGTGCCCTGAGCAATAACGCACGTGTGCTGCAGTCGAGCGTCATATGCATGTATCAACAGGTAATACATCAATATCATCTGGGCATCACATTGCCTGTGTCAAGGGCTGGTGGGTAAAGACTCCCCTTAACCCAATTCGAAGAACGTGCAAGGATAATGTTGAAGTCTATTTGAAGTATGTGTTACATGTATACATGAAAGACACGGCTGTTAAGAACAAACACACCTGCACCATCGGGTCCACATTAAGATAGCAGGATTAAGACAGCTCTAGAGAGGTGTCTGTTTCCCATGTCCCGCGACCTATAACTTCCCACTAATTGTTCTTCCTTTTTTAAATTAATGAAATTCCCGCCATCTGGTTGTATATGGATGCCCCTTTTTAAACAAATCCCACAATATCATCGTATATTGCCGTATGCACACGTATCATTGTCATGAATGCTATGGCCGGATTTGCAGACATTTCCAAGCATGAATACAAAACATAATACCCAAGTAAATACTTGATCAAAGAGTATTTCTAATGTAATTTTTTTAAATTGTAATATGTGCTAAAATTTCCGACTTCTTTCTAAGTTATAGACTTTTCCTAATGTGAGGAAAAATATGTAAGTTTGTAATTTTTCAAATGTTTTTATGCCTTGGAAAGTAATTTTTCATTCCGGATATCAAGGGTATGTATTTGAATAGTTTCTATATGTTCATATTACCGGTATAAAAACAAGATGATCATAGATGTTTCAACGATGTGAAATATTGGGTTCACGTTACGTATGAGCTGTCATATAGCTGGAGAATTGCTGTGGCGGCGTTAAACAACAAACAAACAAACACGTCTAAGGGCCCAACTGTGAAAAGCGAATTAGGCTCGTACAAGGAACAAGGCGCATCTTTCTTTTAAAAGTTATTTCTGCGATGTGCTATTTCAAATCCCCAAACTAATCCCTAGCCATAATAGTATTCGTATTTATTGAAAGAATAAAAATGGAATAGAGAATTTTTTTAAAAAGCTCCTACCAGGTGAAATCTATCATACGTGGGAAGCTTTTATTAAATAAAATATATATTATCACTAACTGCTCAGTTTCATTCCTGTAATATTGTTAACGTTCAAGTAAGTGTACATGTTCTTAGTGTGTGTGTGTGACATGGATATATATATAGACGAAACAAATGTACTATGATGAAGGTTCAGTTTTACCACATCAGCAAGTGTGAATCAGATCCGAACACAAGTGTTTAGTCATGTATCATGCGTTATACATCTGGTTTGACGAAACTCACTATCAAAAATGCATGAAGATGAAACAGCATATATATACTCACACGCAAAAGAAACTCAAGTGGTTTTAAGCAAATAGATAACAAACACGGAACCATAAATTGATACGAGTTTTAGCATGTAGTGAAGCCTGATGGTGTTATCAATATTTTTGGTTGCATTTTGGAAGCCCCGCCTAAATCAAATTCAGAGAAACCAGGCTATCGGACGTTTGGAAGCTGGAGAGTCTGTCCAAGATGTTGCCCGTCATTTCAAAGGTAACACAAGCACAATTTACCGTCTCCTGCATCGATACAATGCTACACAGACCACAGATGACCTTCCTTGGAGCGGTCGTCCTAGGGTCACCACACCTCGACAAGATCGGCAGATTACCCGTCAACACCAGCGACATCCGTTCCTAACTGCAAGTGAAAGTGCTCGACAGACCATAGGAACTCATAATCGACACATTAGCCGGGACAGTGTGATCCGACGTCTCCGTTCCAACAACCTCAGATGTCGCCGACCAGCACGTCGTCCTGTTCTCCAACCACGGCATCGACAAGCACGACTTCAGTGGGCACAGGGTCATCGCAATTGGCGTCATCGTGAGTGGAGGCGTGTTATCTTCTCTGATAAAAGTCGCCTTTGTGTCCCCCATGCAGACGGAAGTGTCTGAATTTGGCGGCGTCGAGGTGATCGTTTCGCTGACAGAAACGTTGTGGAAAGGGATCCATGGGGTGGACCTAGCGTCATGATATGGGCAGGGATTGCACTTAATGCGAGACTTGGACCCATGTGCTTTGTGAATGTTGGTCAAGGTCGGGGACACGGCATCACTGCTCAGCGGTATATCGACCAAGTGATCAGACCCCACGTTGTTCCATTTTTTGCACAACATCAACAACACATTTCCAGCAGGACAACGCTCGTCCCCATGTTGCCAGAGCTACCACGGACTTTCTGCAACAACACAACATCCGTGTTCCACTGTGGCCATCCCTCAGCCCTGATCTGAACCCCATCGAACATTTGTGGGATGAGGTTCAAAGGCGTCTGCACAATGTGCGCCCAGTCCCTACAACTGCCGACGAACTACGCACAGCTGCTCTGGATGTGTGCAGGAGGATCCCTAGGGTCTTCACAAATCGTCTGATCCACTCAATGTACAGGAGATGTGTGGCAGTGATCAATGCTAATGGTGGTATTGACTGACATTTGGGGCATTGACCCGAAGCCCTTAACATTTGAAAAAAACAATTATGTCATCTGCCTTTTAATCCATTAAACTGTCTTCAGTCAAATTTTTGTCAATCTTGCCCTATGTATACTGCATACTCGACTTGCGTTTCTTTTGCGTGTGAGTATATATCATAAATAGTTGTTGAGCACAAAACAATGAAGAATAACTTCGACAATTCCTCAGAGCCATGGGCAGCAATGTGGCTTCAATAAGGATAAGTTAATATACTTCCAGTTATAGGAGTCAGTCTACATGAAAACAACATACTTACGCTAAAGTTCTATAGCACCCATTCACGAATTAACTAGTACACACGCTACATATATAACCTCATAAAAACAGTGTGTTTTTTTCAATATGAAAACAAGCGTGATAAAACATATGTTGGTTCAGTTCGAAGTAAATTGTGGAATGTACTGCAGAGACGGGATGTCTCTTCCAAAATGACCAAATGTATCGAGACTATTTATTCTAATGTCCGTTCATGTGTAAAATACAATAATCTTTATTCAGATTTGTTTGAATGTAGCATCGGTGTTCACCAAGGTTGTGTACTCATCCCCTACTTATTTTCGATGTTTATTAATGAGTTGGCACAGGAAATGGAAGCATCCTGTGGTTACGGTATCTAGTTGCATCCAGACATAATACATTTGTTCCTTTTCACTGATGATGTTATTTTTATTTCTGACACGGTTGCTGGATTACAGGGACAAATTGGGGCCCTAGAACAATATCGCTGCAACAATCAACTACCTATTAACTTGAATAACACAACAGTTGTAGCTTTTAAGAAAGGGGACATCCTGGCAAGAAGTGGAAAATGGAATTATCAAGGGAAGCTATTGGAATTAGTTTCATGTTGCAAATGCTTGGGAGTTACTCTTAGTAAAACTTCGCTCGTCACGCCGAAGACCAGGGTTCGATTCCCGACATGGGTACAATGTGTGAAGCCCATTTCTGGTGTCCCCCGCCGTGATATTGCTGAAATATTGCTAAAAGCGGCGTAAAACCATACTCACTCACTCACTTAGTAAAACTTTGTCTTGGGTTTCAGATATAGAAAATGCTGGTACTTGAGGTCACCATATAAATTAAGCTCATCCCATGACCTTTCTTTAAGATATACCTACTCCAAATTATGCTCTGTGTGTGTGTGTGTGTGTGTATGTGTGTGTGTGTGTGTGTGTGTGTGTGTGTGTTCGTGTGTGTGTGTGGAGTGTGCTACTTTATCTGACTCTCCGTCAGTGTGTGTGTGCTGTGT